AAGTTGGTTCATATTGTGGGACTCGCCGTAGGACAGCCTCGCCCCCCCCCCCAGGTATATTCATCACGAGTGACCGGTGATGAACAACTGCTGTCACAAGTAGTTGGGGGATGTAGTGTGTGGTGGGGGGATTGGTTGGCAGTGGTTGTAGGAGGGGCAGAGAGGGTGCGTGGCTCAGTAAGGAGCTGGGAATAAACTGACTCGTTTAAACACACTTGTGCCTTAGTATGTAGATAAATACTCTAGTGAATTCTCCAATGGTGTTTTAATATATAACATAAACATATATAGCTATAAAACACTTGTATCGCTATTCATAAATGTTTGCAAGTTTGTTATTTTACATTAAGCAACGTTATAGAATTTGTTTGAGTTGCTCATTTCAAAGAGTTTGGCGTTCGTGAAAGTTAGTCCTATAGGCCTGTCTGCTCGTTAGGGGCCGTGTCTATACAACACACTGACTACTAAGCCTTTGGCGTATAAAGAGGTCACTTAGGCCGGCCTGCTCTTCATTGCCTTCAATTCCCCAGCTGTAAAGTTACCATAAGTGCCTGTTGACAGTTGGATGGATGCTCTTGCCCTGAACCAGCTACTTTAAGACAGAAGGCGACAGTTTTATTGTGTCCTTTCAGCACTTATTACCTCACTAGCAGTACTGGCTGGTGGTTTTTTTTTTTTTTACACAGAACTTCATTGTCCTGTGTTGGTTGTATCCACTGCTGCTGCACCCTTGTTACCTTCTTAATTATATCTAATAAATCTGACAAATCATAATGATATTTTGCATAATTATAAGTAATGTTTATCTGAAAATTAATTATTTTAATAAAAGGTCGAAAACATTCATCAAGTTAGTATAAGCTGTTAAATGTATTAAGGCCGTGTTATGCCGCGGGCCGGGAACAACGAGAGGCACTTGTGACGCCGCCTGTGAACAGCAGATGACGGAAGCAAATGCTGCCTGACCTTGGCCACCAGTTGAGGGGAATGTCTGCGGTGAACCTTTTTGTGGGAGGGTGTGGACACTGATGATGTGCACCATGATCCCACACCACACCCGCATCCAGCTGTCTGACTCAGTTGGTACAGTCACCTCCATGGGCGTCCAGAAAAAAAAATAAGAATAATGTTAAAAGAGCGTCAGTAGCTGGCATGAATCAAGGAAATAACAGTTGAGAGTTGGTAATGGAAATATTAATTTATAAATGTCATCATAAAATGGAGAAGCCTCGTAAATTGTGCCCAGGAGGATGCTAGTTACAGCCAAGGACTAAAACCAGTTTCTAGTCTGCCCTCCATGGTTACAGCTAGTATGTTTCGGGCTAGTATAATGAACGCTACGCTGATTAAGAGGTCCGTTAGAGCGTAAAGATTGTGACCTCTAAGTTTTGTTTATTTATATTGTCCTCGCTTTAGTGTTAATTTCATTATTTACACATAAATAATAAATATAACTACGTCATTTTGTGATTGCAATTATGATAAATTCAGGATCATTCCTGAGAATTTACTTTATTCAATTTTGAGGAAGGTTGATGGAAGAGGGTAAATAAAGTTCTGACGATGTTTTACCATTTGTAGAAGTGATCGACGTTTCCCAAGCGTAGTTTATGTTGGAAGGTAGAGGTTGTTATAAAGGATGAAGTGTTGTAATAGGATGTTTGTGTGATGTTTTAGCTTTGCGGTGTACCTACTTCCTGAATTTTTTTCTTTTACACTTATCATTACTCTTTCTACCTCTTTCCTTTCTTCCTATACTCACAGTTCCTAAAAGTAAACCCATTTGTATCACCAAGCCTAGCAGAGGTTGTATCGACTGATCAGAGAAAACAGAAACGAAAACTTGCCAGTATATTAATGAACAGCGGGAAGCAACTGAAGACTTGTGTACAGTAGTTAACTAGAGTATTGTTTGGGAGAATAATGAAGTGTTCGAAATCTTGCAAGAGCAAATGACAAACAGTGAGATAAATATTATAACTGCAACAACCCGAGCCTTGGTGTAGTGGGCAAGGCCTCGACGGAACAACATTGAAATTAAAACTGATGAGGCACTGATAAAGTGAAGATGATAGTGAAGGTGACGACCAGAGCAGCATGAAAGTGATAGCAGAGGGAGACAGTGATGATAATGGTTAGTATAAGAAAACAGCACATGTAGCTTATTGATTCAGGGTAAGTAATTTATACGCCATACATCTGTACTCAGTTGAATGCTTTACTTAAGTATTTTGTTAAACAGTGAGTACCTGTATGTATTTTTTTAAATAAATAATTTTATATATAGAAGTTGAGTGGAGGATGAAAATGGAGCGCAAGCGACTTAACCTCAGTAGGGTGAGCGAACTGGGTATTCAGGAATATGTTTTTATGATAACTGGTATGAAACTCAATTTTGTTTCATAGATATACTGTAGTATATCTAAAACTCTCCACACATTATTCCAGGTTAATTTATTCTAACCAAACCTAACCAAATATGAGCAAACCTTCCCTAGATGATATTAGGTAAGACATGGTTTGCTAGTAGCGTAACCACAGTTTAACGAGGTTTAAACTGGTATAACTGAGGCTTTGTCAGAAATTATTCAGTACTGTGACGTCACATAAAATGGGTATAGTTCATGTATTTTCATTTTATTAACTTCACTGCTCCAGTTATGCCTCCCCTAACTTCCATATAAATAATTAGTTAGGGACAGTGTGGCTACAGCACACTGTATAGTAAACCTTCAGCGCATGAGGTGGCATAGCTGACATTGTATTTAACCACTTTCCATTCTAACTGTAAAGTTAGATACCTATTTATAAACAGGTAAACTGGAAATTCCCCAGCATCGACCCATCGAACCAAAGGGCAGATGGCGAGTGTTTTACAGGGGGCGGATCCAGGGGGGGTCCTGACCCCCCTTTACATCAGAAAATTTCGATACTTTTTTATTTAATGCAGTATTATACTTAGCCGTTTTTGTGTAGTAAAAAGTAATTATTATTGACTTCAGACTGTCTCCTAATATCAAGTGCACACGGCTTCAACATGGCTCGCTGTGCTCGCCATGTTGCCCCCCCCCCCCCTACCTTTTGATATTACTGGATCCGTCTCTGCATTATCAACTTGGCCACCACATACCATACGTTTATTAATGCACAGTCGTAAGCTCAGATTTACATGAACACTTACACGAAACAGTTCACCTTACACCTGCACCTTAACACACACAGTGACACTTACGATTTCGCTTATATTTTTCCACAGATGTTATTATTAAAGTAAGTATTTCAAAGGAGGCGAGAACTATATATTTTAATAATAAGTATTTTTTTCTGTCTGCAAGGTGAAACACGTAAAGAAATTATTTATTTACCTTAAACACTCGACAAATCTGCACCTTCTGCAGTCACCGCGTGTCGTCTGTTGACAACCGACCCTTCCGGTGCTGGTGTACTGTACTTGTTGGGGTCCGACTAATTACCCAAATGTAGCCAAATGTAGCCAAATATAGCCGGAATGAAGTCAAATAATGGTCCTAGATGAATAAATCGGACTGCTAATCACTTCTCGACTAGTATTTGGTGTCAGAAAGTCACAAAAAATTGGTAAACTTAATTTAATCTGAGTTAATAGATCAAGTGCATGTACCTAACCTAACCTAACCTAACCTAACCTAACCTAACCTAACCTAACCTAACCTAACCTAACCTCGACTAGTATTTGGTGTCACGAAGTCTAAAAAAATTGGTAAACTTAATTTAATCTGAGTTAATAGATCAAGTGCATGTACCTAACCTAACCTAACACAACACAACTCAGATTAAATTAAGTTTACCAATTTTTTGTGACTATGACACCAAATACTAGTCGAGAAGTGATTAGCAGTCCGATTTATTCATGTAGGACCATTATTTGACTTCATTCCGGCTATATTTTGCTACATTTGGGTACATTTGGGTAATTAGTTGGACCGTACTTATTGTACTCTCACGTCCACAAAAAAACGTAAAATTACACCATAACGCTAAAACAAAGTTTTTTTCATTTTGGTACCAGATATCAAAGTAAGTACTTTCTGTTTAATATGGCGGGAGGAGGTCCCTTCCGGATAGGAAGTTCAGTTAGGTTAAGTAGGTTTCTTTGGTTGGCTGGGTCAGGTCAGGTCAGGTTCGGTTCGGTTCGGTTCGGTTCGGTTCGGTTCTATTAGCTTTTAATAAATGTCGCCTCGTTTAAAATATTTATTATGGTCAATTTGTAGTTTCGACCAACCACGGAATTTGTTGATGAAAAATACGTCAGCACTAACGTATTTTAGGGTTGTGGGATTTCAGACATCGTTGTATCAAGGAAAGCTTAAAACGACAACATTTTTGGACAACCCACCACCTTTATTTTGTTCCCAGCGTGTAATTGGGAAAAATAAGTTTTTGACTGAGAATGGCGGAAATTTTACCCAGTGTGATACCTACATTACTTTAAACATGTAGGCTATTCGTAATGACCCCCAAGTTAATTCGAGTACACATAATAACACCAGGAGCTCATAATGACCCCAGATGATTAATACTGTAGGTACTTATGATCCCAAGGGACTCACAGGTGTTCATAATGGTGTTAGGTGACTCACATGTACTCCTAATGACCACAAGTGCTTATTATGTCAATTGGCAGTGGTATAAAATGCAGTATAGTACAGTATTTCAATTATCTTTTTCAATACATGGGTACAGTATTATCTTCCATATGGACACTCATGCATCCAGCAGGTACTTGTAAGTTTAGTATTTGGACCATGAATTTAACACGTCCACATACTGTACTGTTATGCGTTGTCTTACACACACACACACACACACACACACACACACACCCACCCTCCCCCACACACGTCCATAGCCACACACACACACACACACACACTGGAATGTACAGGAGTTCAGAGTATATAACAAAGAACTTTTTCCTGTATTTTTGTAAGTTTTATGAATTGACTGTCTTTAATTTTCAGGCAATGGCACTGATCAGCGAGGAAGACGGAGTGGCAGCAGCGGGGATGTGGGTGTGGTGGATAGCAATGTTCTCCGGAAAGTGGCCAGCCTTACCCTTGACCGGGCCACCATCGACAAGAAGGTCACCAAGCCAAAGTTTGTTCCAGAGAAACTAGACTTTAAGATTTACGAGAAGTTTGAAGGTAGGTACTACGTGTACCCTGATACTGTGTTGTTTGGTATAAAGTACATTTTATTTCATTGATGGTGCATTTACTATAAATATCAATAGGAAAAAGGTTGATTCATAGATATGGCTAAGCATGTACTGTACAGTATTAATAGATATTATATATTGAAAGTGAAAAGAGCTTGAAAGATGTATAATACAGTACTACAGTAAGCACTGTATATGTACACTATACAGTGTAGGTAACAGGTATTTTCAATGTCTTTAACAAATATTTATAAAAAAATCAAGCTCAAATCAATATTTAGCTATCCTTCATACAGTGTTTATAATCTTCAAATCTTTCATAAACTAGCTTTTCGTTTGGCAGATACAGTACTTTACTGTATTAGTGTATAGTAGTAAATACAGTTACAGTAGTTGTTTAGTAAAAGCTATGTCCAAGATGTAATTATAAATCTGTACCTGGTATTCTATTTTATTCTTTTAATGTCAACAGGTCAAATGTTGATCAATTGGTTTGTAAGTGCTTTTAGTGAAGGTCACTACTTGCGTCATGTTGTCACACCACAAGATCTCAAGATTCTCGCCACACAATTTTGTACTCATCTTTTGGCTGCTGGAGTCATAAACCAGATAGAAGATGTCAGTGCTCCCCTTGAACTTCTTTTTAGGGTAAGAATATTTATTTTATTTTATTTTATTTTTTTTAATGTTTAAGCTATTGTTTAAATGAATAATGCATTAAAAGCACAATGCATTTGATAGGCATTTCTGTAGTTCAGTGTATTAGTGATTTTTGTGGACCATTTAGAAAGGCTTGCTCTACAGAAGCCCACAGTCTCCTCGTTTACTCCTGGTCTTACAGTTCGTGGCTTGTCATTTATGGAACTAGTCTATTTAAACTTCTTCATCCATCTTACAGTTGAATTTCTGTGTGGTGCTTCCTTCTTGGAATGAGTCGTAAATTTTCTTCTAACTGGTGTTACAGACTTTAACTCAGCTAACCAGAGGACACAATTCACCTTCTCTTCTATTGAAGCCATTCAGTATAGTGTTGGGCAGATTATCAGGAAAAAAATAAAAAAATAGAATAAATAAATTTCTTTGATTATAAAAAAAAGGAATACATTACCCCTCCAATGCATTTTACAGATTGATTTTATCTCCTATAGAACCTAAATTATTAATATTTTAAACTGCACCAGGACTTTACGGAACACCTTGTTATAGCAAATATTAATTGTGTTATAACCTTTACAAACCTTTAATCTGAATCAGGCAGATACTTTTTCTGAATGTTAATTTTCAATGAAGTTACACAAGCATAATTCCACCAACATAATTCCAAGCTGCTAATGAGCCAATCGGTGGCAAAGAGGATAAACCTTAATGTATCAGAAACTCCATCGAACTTTATATTATTACAGTGTCAGATTAAGTGACACAAGAGTAGTGATAACCATACATATGTATAATGCTACAAATTATTTTCAGAAATATGTTATCAATTTATACTCTACCTGTAATTATGAGAAAGACTGGGGTTATTGATACAATTTGCTTTTGCAGCCTGACCTTATGTACTTCTGGTCCCATACCGAAGCCTGCCCTGCACAGATCTTGACCCCGGGTAAAATATCTCCCTCTGCTTGGCCACCACCAAACTTTGCCGAACTTATTTCATCAGGTCGCCCAGGAGCCAAGTACACAGAAGCTGGTATGTTTTCATGTTTAAAAAAAGACAATTATGACACTCCGATAAAACATAGGGTTTTACCGTAATGCATTGTATGACTTTACAAGGTTCTAAGATTCATTTTACAGTATTAGCATTATGTGAAGGGATAGATGGATGGGATTAGCTGTAGCAGTGTTCTTCTGAAGCCAAATGGTTTTTCTCGGTTAATCAAATCGTAATGTTTTGAATGTTTCATTTCAGTTGTTGATAAGTTAGGATAAATCTTGGATATGATGGTTTTCAACTTATATTGCTGGTTTCTGATATTGTGTTTGGAAGTGGTCATGATAGGCTGTTTATTTTTGTGAATTTAATTTAAATTATAAGAAGATATTCTCAGATATGCAAGGTTGCTAATATGTAGGTAATTACAGGGTTTACAAAAAATTTGCGTACAGTACTGCACAGTACTGTACTGTATTTTAGTTAAATTATGATTTTTCATTGAAAAATTTCAATTATTTTTCTTCCATTCATTATCTGCTTGCTTCTTGCATGAATTTGTTTTAAGTTGCTATTTAACGTAGTTTGATGGTTGTAATACAGGAACTTTTGGATCTCAAAAGGGTCTTATTATGTTCTCGGGTCAATTATGCAGTCGCCTTCACCTGTTAGATGTTTGGTCTTTTGCCACTTTTACCAAATACAATGCAGTACTATATTGAGATAGTTAGTGCAGCCTGAGGTGGAATTCAGATTAAAGTCACACCACATGATGTTCATTTGTAAAAACCATCAAACAGTTTTTGTTGTTGTCATTATCTTTTTAATATTCATGGAAAGATGAAACATAAACTGGAAAAATGTTTAAGATGAGGAAAGTTTTATCATATAATTCATGCAGGTATTATCTATTGGTAATGATGTATTGCCTTTAACATATATCCCAGAATGTTATATAGTAACTGATCAACTTTTGACCAACTAGTATGATGACAAATGGTGAAGAGGATAAAGTGAAACCGGGAGATAACATTTGCGTTGAAAATACATTTTGACATGTTATAAGATGTCAAAATTTAAGCTCTGTGTTGAGGTATTGTACTTAGACCGTCACATAACATGGCTTTAATCATTCTCTCTTGGCAGAATTATTGTAAAACTATGACAGAATTTTGTCTTGTCTTAAAGTTACAGTGTATATTTAACATATACAGTATGCTGACATCAATGACTGCCAGGTGGAGTTGACTGCATAACCTGCTTTATTATCCTGTTTCTTAATCAATGATACATGGTGTTAATACAGTACTGTACTACTTTCTTGTATTTTACTTAATATTATTTTTGCTTCTTAAAATGCTTGAGTCTTTCCTATTATTTCTGGTTACTTCAACTAATCATTATACAGTTTTAAATTCTGTTTTTAAAATTACATTGGTGTATAGTCACATGTATATACACTACTGTATTCATATTGACTTGATAATTACACATTACCATATACTGTACTGTACAGTACACATATACTGTACAGACATTGGTTATATTCACATGATCACATTCACATTATCTTATGCAAATACATTTACAGTACTGTACTATACTTTCACTTAATACTTTTGGGGGAGTTTCTTATACAGGATGAATCTTTACATTAACACTTGTATACAAATGTGTTTATTTACTTGCATATGCAGACATTGTGTACACATACATTCAAATACTGTACAGTATAGTAAACCTTCCCAATACTGGACTAATTTATATGACCCTTGTCCCTTATTGGAAGGATTCCCTTAGTTGGAGGGTTCTTTCCTCTTCCTCCCCCCCTCCTCCATGGATACATAGGATAATACAGTAGATATAAATTTCATATATTATTCCATACTATCAAAATGCACTTCTTACATGGTAATGAATATTGTTCAATTTGGGTAGCTGCTAATGAGCCGATCAGTAGCGAAAAGGATAAAACTGCTTGTGCTTTTGTTCTTATATAAAATGTTAGATACTGTACCTGCTTACACATTTATTTTAATATTCTAATATAATTTATATACTGTATAGTCCCCAAAAATGTATCGTTAAATTTTCTGTCGGTACAACTTGAAACGCTAGATGAAATGCTTTGATGTGATCCCCAGTGCATCATCTTAAGTTGGTATACCTATTCAGTCGAATGTACATACCTGGAGCTTGCAGATGCCTGCCCCACAAGGGGTCACAGCTCAAGGTTGAAGAAGCCACGGGTCTAGAAAACAGTGAGGGTGAGCTTTTTTGGAGAGAGAATTGTGAACTCGTGGAACAATCTTCCTGCGAGCGTTGTGACGGCACCGAGTGTGAGCTCTTTCAAGACCTGACTTGACCAACACTGGAGCAGGTTCTGATATATTCAGGAGCCACTTCATGCCCAGTACTTGGGTGAGTAACAGTGACGTGACCAACTGCCCAAGCAGGTAATGAGCTGATCAGTGGCGAAGAGGATAAACGTAAAAGTAAAAAAGTAAAAAGTGATACAGCTGAAAATAGATCCACCACTCACAATCCCCATTACTTATGTCCTTACTTCACCAAGTACTGCCAGGTAAAATTGCGAGTACGTACGAGAACCAGGGTGAGGTCGATGGAACTTTGGCTGACTCTACATTATGATGGTCGGGAATGATGTGTGAAATTTTTATTGCTTTATTTATTTATTTATTTATTTATTATCTTTTTCACAGATTGGTTTAGTATTGGGGGGTTTACAATACCGTATATACTGTACCTGTGGTTATATTTAGGGTACTGATACACTTTAACATGGAAGTGTTCACTTACTTCACTACTATTACACACACACACACACATATATATATATTTATATATATATATACATACATACATATATATATATATATATATATATATATATATATATATATATATATATATATATATATATATATATATATATATATATATATATATATATATATATAAATAAATGTGTAAAGTAAATGAACACTTCCATGTTAAGGTGTATCAGTAAATATAGACATAGACATTGAACATACATGGACACATAGATGTACACATACACATACAGTATTCAGAAAATTAGGCATACAGTATATTCACATATTATTCTTTCATAGTATTCTGACATACTCATTCTGCATAGCCTGTAAAGCATTATGCAGGTAGTTAAAGTATTTAGAGCTGCAATTTTGGTAGGTAGTGAAATCATAAATATTCAGTCTTTATAACTAACCATACTGTTCTGTATAACTAACCCACTGTTTGAAAACAGACCAAACCCCAGGGAAGGGCACTACAGATGATACCCCCCCTTGTGATCCTAACGGGGTACTTGTCGAGCCTCAAGTGCAGAAAGTAAAGAACGGGGAGGGAGAAGGTAACATGCATGTTGTGCATGGTTGTCCTCCAGTCCTGTGCATTGTTTGAAAAATGTTTCTCCTTGTGTGATCACCAACTCTGCCTCATACTCCCAATAGGTTTTGAAAACCCTTGTATCAATCTGTGGTAGCATGTGGGATGTGTGTTTTGGCCAAAGTTAGAAAGTGGTAAAGTATTTGCAGAAATTATGTATCTTTAGATGCATAATACTTCTAAATTATTTTGTATCCTTTTGTAACTTTGGTCTCAGTTCATTTGATATTCATAGGCAACTTTGAGTTTTGCATTGAAGAAAATAGAAATAATACTGAGAGCCTATAACCTTGATTGCCCTGGACCAAAGAGCGCCATTAATTTTTACTGGTACTGATATTATTTTTGCTTTGTTGAGGATTCAGAGTTGATGTAGAATTGCCTAGCATCTTGTGTATTTTCTTTTCATTGCTTTTTTTTGTGTATCCAGTATTGTATTTGTTACCTCTTCTCTGATTATGTGGACAGTGAAGTCCACCACCTCTTTTGCACCATACTGCAAGTTGCAGCAAATGTTAATTTTTATAAAAAACTCTGTGACACCCCCATTGTATAAGTACAGTATATCAATTGATTTAAATAGTGAAGTCACTAAATGAAATGCATGTGTTTGAAAAATACTTGTATATACTGTACTATATAATCTGTACTATAAGTAAAAAGTGCATGATTTAAAATTTATTTTTTTAAATTTTATGATGAATCTGAGTTTTCATGTGCAGTACTTACAGATGTTTGTATTATTCTACAATAAATTTCCAAGATACATTTTAAGATACCATAAGACATCCATTGTAAAAATAGAAAGTTTATAAACTGAGTATGAGAAATGCAGAAAGCATGAGAAATTAGAAGCAGTTGTTGAATGAGATTCAGTTCAGAATATTACAATATTTGTACTAATGCTTCCAACTTTTTTTGCTGAACAAAATTTCTAAATGAAATTAAGGTAAAATGATCTCAGTAAGAAAGTGTTGCAAGTTTTTAAAATTGGATTTGGTGAAGTTGTATCATAATGGTTGTTTTCTACAGGGTGCTGTGATAAAAATGGTACCAGGTCATTTAATGCCTACTTCATAGACCCAGAAATTTGCTACCCAAACACTAGGAAAAGTATTAACTGCTATTTAAAGTTAACTTATTTTGTTTCATATAATAATTAGTCCTGACACCTCCACTTTATTAATCCTTTTAGTATCCTTTCAACTTTACAGATATTTCATTCAATTTTCAGAGTTCCAGCAGGTTGTAATGGGCCTCAAGCGGGAACACAAAGATTCCCTTGACCGAGTAGAGCGAGTTCAGGAGGTGTCTTTGTTCAACCTTAGAGGGGAGCAGGCAGAAAAATTGTGCCAATATGAGCAGAGAATTAGGGATCTTGAACTGGAATTAGAAAAACTCAAAACATTCTCAGCAATACAGGTGGATATATATTTTATTTATTTTATTTTATTATTTTATTTTATTTTATTTTATTTGGGGTTTTAGTAGATAGACTAACTTTGTAATTATATGGAAATGATATAGTTTTCACAATAACTTTTTTCTCTTGGATTGAGTGTTGGGTATCTACAGTAGATATGTGATGTCCAGGATTCAGTGACTTGGTGCACTATTTTAACTTTTTTATAGGACACAGAGTATCTCTCTTACATACCAGTACAGTTTATTTTCGGATCTAGACATAAAGTTCAAAATAAAACTTTCAAAGGAAGAGGCATCGTGTGAGTATGTATACTGTGCTGGTATACTGTACAGTAATACCCTGGTTAATACTGCCCCATAGAGCACTGTTTCGTTGTAGCTTTATGTTCAAGATGCTTAAAAAAGAAAATTTTATAGGCAAATCTCAACCAGTACCACAGACCTTTTCATAATTATATTTATATCATTAGTTCTCTTTTTTCAACCTCAGACTATTGCCTATATTGTACAGTTTTAACATATGAATATTATTCACACCAGTTTCTGAACTTTGTGCCTTTGTTAATTCAGTTGTATTTAAGTGTCCATCTAAAGGCTTCATTGTGTACATACTGTATACATACAGTACTCAAATTTGTTTAAAAATTAAAAGTTTTTCTTTTTTTAGGAACTTACTGCCAAGACGAAAGCTGACTTCGACTCACCAACCTCTCCAAACAAAACAGCACTACCTGCTAGTGGCCCTCAATCACTGCCCCCTCCTCCCCCTCCCCCACCCCCTTCTACAGAACAAGGTGTGGCTGATGCTTCACCCTCACTAGCCCAACGCATGGTAGCAAGCCCATCTTCCTCCTCTCTATCACAGCAACCTTCAGGAATGCTAGGGATGGGAGCACCTCCACCACCACCTCCACCACCATATGTACTATTTGCACCACCACCACCTCCTCCTCCTCCTCCTCCTTTTCCTAGCATGTACCCCCCTATGCCTCCACCTATGCCTCCCCCAATATTTGGAATGGGTGGTCCACCACCACCACCACCTCCTCCTCCTCCTCCTCCTCCTTTAGGTATGGGTGGACCACCACCTCCTCCTCCTCCTCCTCCTCCAGGGATGGGAGGACCACCACCACCACCTCCTCCTCCTCCTCCACCAGGAATGGGTGGACCACCACCACCTCCACCACCACCAGGAATGGGTGGACCACCTCCCCCACCACCACCACCAGGAATGGGTGGACCACCTCCCCCACCACCACCACCAGGAATGGGTGGACCACCACCACCTCCACCACCACCAGGAATGGGTGGACCACCTCCCCCTCCTCCAATACCTGGTATGGGTCCTCCTCCACCTCCTATGCCTCCAGGCATGAGAGGACCACCTCCTCCACCAGGAGCACCGCCACCTCCAGGTGGACCCACACCCTTCCCAGCCCCTCCACCTGGTGGTTGGAATGCTGCCCGGCCAGCTGGTAAGTTGTTTCCTTGGATGTAAGGCAGGCATGATGAGTGTTCATATTGTCAAAAAAACAAAATAATAAATAACTTTTGGTAAAATTTTCTGCACAGAAAGCTTGTAGGTACTACTGTACAGTACTGGTTTAATGTATTAACATACTAAAGCCACAGAGCAAGATTGTTGAACATGATGAATGATTTAAAAATTTTATTATGCCTTTAAGTTTTGTTTGTATTAATTTTTAGAATTATATTTATTTTAATATTGTTTGAATGACTATTTTTTTAAATTTTTGAAATGCCATTGGTAATTTCTTCAGATTATTTTGTTTGACTAACTAATTTATGCTTTTACTTTATCAGAACCCGACTCATCGTGAATATATTAATTTGCACTTCAGACCTTTTCTGTCTTTGTCCCTTCTATTTTTTTAATTATCTTTTCTTCCATTTCTGTCCTAATCCATATATGCATTTGTATATATGTATGATAATGCTACACCATTAGATATACTATAACAACTTAATTTAATGACAGCATGAAAGTTGCATGTTAAGATGAGGTGTACATAAAAAGAAGTGCATGTGTCCGCAAGATGACTTTAAGATATGGGCGAGCATAGTTATACATATAGCTCTAAGGTGTCATAGTTCTTACAATAGGTGCATGGACCTAGATAAGTGTATGCTTTCAATATATAAAGTGTGCTACGTTTTCTTTAGATTTTATTCTTACCTAAGGGATTAAGCCATGAATACTCAGACCTCCAAAGGGTAAGTTTCTGGTCGTTCAGCTCTCGTATGCAGTGTAATATATGCGTGAGTGCTACTTTACTAATATTTTTATTAATTTAGATTATGCGTAATTTTAATTTAACCAATAGAAGTATAGATATATTTTTAGTCACGTAGAAATGCTACTTCAAAATCACAGGTTTCTAGCAATTTTGTTTTAAGTGATTACTGTGACTTAGTTGTTCTGTGTATAGTAAATATAATATCTCCAAAGAAAGTCTTACTAAACTGCCATATACTTTTGATCAGTTAATTCAATCAGATTAAATTCAGACAGAGTATTCTGCATTTTGTATGCAGCTTGTGATGAAATTGGTTCTTTGGTCTGTTAATCATATACTGTATGTATGTCTTTCAATATCTAGAATGATGTTTCGTGTGCATTGCTGTCCTTAGTGGCACTGCAGTAATAATATCGTCTTAAGATAAAGTTGTACCTTTCCATCTTGTACTAAGAACCACTTAAATCTCCCTCAGACATTTTGCCACCCAATTCAAGACACATTTTGTAGGATAAAAACTAATAAAAGTTCTCCTGAGAGATGCACAATATATGAATTTTCTTCTCAAGTCATGTATACATTGTCTGTCATGGGAATTGAACCCAGATAATTTATTGGTTGTAATTACAATCATAAAACAAATGTAATTGTTTGACCTAGGAATCACTGAATTCATTATTACCCAGCATCTGAAATCAAAAAGCTAATGTACATTTAAAATTATAATCTCCCTTTCTATTTAACCCTATTGATTTATTAAAACAGTGTTCATTACATGTCTGAAACTTACTATAAAGTAGAATTTATGTAAATAAGTTTATTAAATCTAGTGATTGATTTCACATTGCTAATCTCATCACAAAGACCAGTTGATAGTACTATGTTTTGTTAGTCATACCCGTACTGTGCTAGGTAGCATATTCCTGATGTCACTAGTTGATCTGAAACATTGTTTTTCTATTTACTTTAGTTCAAAAGGGATTTTCAAAGGTAGATTTTTCACAGATATAAATTTCTTTGTTTAGTACTTATAACCAGTGATGCTCATGTTAGATGTCTTGATACTTGATAATTCATTAACAGTGAAGATTACCATTGATCAAGGAGTGAAGTGTTCACTTCATTAAAAGTTTACTTTCTTTACTTCCTTTCACTATGAAATCTTGGATTTATTGAGATTACAGATCATGGGTTATGATTGATGGAAAAGCTGCAATATTAGTAATTAATGATAAGAATTTTATTAAAAGAGTAAAAGTAAGAATACTGAAGCGTAAGTTTTAAGACCGTCTGCATATGAGACATCTTGGTTATTTTTTAGTTTCTGGTTAAGATTTCTTGGTTGTGCTTCAATACACTAGAAGTAATATTCTATAACATAAGGCACTTTATGACATATTGCAAACTAACCTTCAAAAGATCTGATACTGTGACCTCTTTGGAATATGCTATGGATCTTTTTTTAGTGTCCCAAGACATAGTGCACTCACCTAGTACTCTCTTGTCTGCTTGCTCCTGCCTGTGTGTGCTTGTGTGTCCTTGGCCACACCTGTACGTGCTCCTTATGGTGGTGGCACTGCTCCCGGAACCTCTACTCCTTGGTGCTGACCTCTCAAGTTGTGCCAGGTCAGTACATCACACATGACATCATTTGTATTTGTATCCAGATGACCTTTCTACAATTGAAACTCAATTTCTTTGAACTTGATAGCCTAGTATCTTCGACATTTTTATTGAGACCAGATAACAGGAAATATGTTCAAAACTATAAGAATTGATGCACAGTACATTGTTCAAAGAATTGGGTTACAAAACAAAAGCAGGAGAAACAAATACTGAACAGAACAGAGATTCTCTTCTTCACAATCTCTCCCTCTAGGACTGGGCTACCTCCCAAGCAAGGAGTTGAATATTAATGTGAATGTCAAGTGAAATTAGTTTTAAATTGTTAATTTGAGTCCCCAGTATAGCAAACTCCTTTGCTGTGAGGACTGTCCCCTCCATACTATGGAGGGAATACAGATTCTTGATTAACAGTTTCTCATTGATTATATTGGGACCCTCGTGGGTAAACTGTGGGAACTTTATTGCTAGTGATCCTTGCTGTGCTGTCAGATATTTTCAGCATTAAAGATCAAAAAAAAAATTTGTAATTGCCATTTCTTCACATTGTTCACTTCAAGGTGGTATTAGTTTCTTTATTGCTCTTAATATTTTCCATTATTTTATGTCTTATTACTTTCTTTCTCACACACACAAGCATTTTACCACACTAGTCCATCTATAATCCATATTTAAAGTAAGTACTGTAATATTAATGTACTGTACAGTTGCCTACATAGGTTATATTCCTCATCTCACCAGTGACTATGATGCAGTGATAGTCAAGGTACCCAGCTGGGGTGGGATGATTGGGGGTGGGGGGGATACAGAGTCCAGTAACATAATTATAATACTGTACTAACATATAATATCTAATGGGCAATTAAATGTAAAGTCCTCCCACCAGCCCCTGGTTGGGATACGTTGACTCTGTGACATTGCCACATGTACTATGTTGCCTGTGTGGGAAGGAACACAATATATGCTGGCAACTGTAAACACAGAAAGCTGTAAATATGTAAAGTATTATTTTCATGTTGAAAAGTTTAGCATGAAATTTTGAGTCCCACTCTATCAACCTGGCTCATGGTTAGGACAGTGGAATGTATATACGGTAGTTTGTGTGGTTAGAAGCAGAAACATTTGAATAATTTGTTGAAGAGTCTGCTAGTCAGTCTGTATATGATGTGTTTTCTTCTCACTGTACCTGAGTGAATTAATTTATAACTTGTTTCTGTACTAGATAGTTATAGGTGAGGATGTTATAGTTTTAACATACTGTGTAAGGAATAAAACAAGGCCATTACTCTTGATTTAGACTTAAAAAGGGAAAAAAAGATCTTATTACAGAGCTCACATTTAAAACAGAACTCATTATTTTAAGAAGTATCTTGATGAACCATGGTAGCTTTTCAGTGAAATTGCAGTAAAATTTTACAATGTACAGTAGGTTGGAATGCATGCCTCTTGATTTATTCAGTTCAGATGGCTAATTTTGATTTCTTCAGATTGGCCAACAGGTGCCCAAACATTTAATTGGGAAGGACAGTAGTGTCAAGATATGTCCATTTTGTTACATCATAGTGTGTAAACAACACTTGTCTTACTCCATGCCACCACTAAAAGATGTTATATTTAGATGGGCCATTATTGCACAAACAGTTTTAGTGTACAAAGGTTTTATGGAGTTGATGTAAAAAATGAAGACCAAAATTGCTTATGCGAACGTTACTACATTTTCCTATTTTGAAAATTAATATTCACAAAATGGATTGAAAGTGGAATTATTTTCTTTCTGGCATGATACAGTGGAATATTAGATCAGTTATATAAAGAAATAGAGTAATCAATCATCTTCACAGATATTTTGTTTCAATCAACATTTGGCCAAGTTTTCTTTGTGTCATTTATTTTTTCATTCTAAGTGGGATTTAGGAATTCGATTTGATGTATGATCTAGTTTCATAATTGAAGTGTTCATATGTAGAGATCAGTTTTACAAATGTGGTGTACAATACATTATACAGTATATCCTGTAAATAGAATTAAAGGGGTTTAATAAGATCAACTGGAGAGGCTTGTCAGCCATAGATCCAACAGACAGCTTTTTGTTATCTATGATAAACTGTTACATATTTTTACTGGTAATTTTAGTATATTATTGACTTGGAATAGATGGACTTGGTTCTTTAATTGCTTTTTCCCATAGTGCTTCTCTTATATTTATTCTCAGTTTAAATATAGTTTGTATATTTATAATATAGATTGCCTTCCAAATCTGCTTCTTTAACCAAAAGTAATGTTGAATCGCTATTATTCATATGTTTACTTTATATTGAATTACAGAGCTCAATAGATATTCATATTTCTCTATACTGTACAGTATATGATATTTTACATATGACCTACCGGTACTCATTTACTTTTTTTCATATTTTATTTTAGAATTAGGATATACCAGTACAGTACTCTTCATTTTGTATCAGTATCTTTGACTTAACTTACACAGAGAGTAAAGTTGCTCCCTCTCCATGTTTTACTAACAGGCTGAATAGATTTATTACATTGCAGAAAACAGAAAAGAATATTGCTGAACAACATTTCAGGTTTGACTCATTCCAAGCAGGAGGATGTACAGTATAGCACAGAATCCCCAGTTTGTCCACATAAGAAATGTTGACCCGATAACTGTGGTAGAGTGATTCACCGATCAACTCCCAGTGCGAAAAAACAAACAAACCTCAATCGAATTTTCCCCGAACATCATTTTAACTCGTGTGGATTTAAAGATAGTACAGTACTGTACCTGTATGCAGAAGTATGTTGAAACCAAATATGAGTCCATTAATTACCTTAGTTTGGCCGTGGTGAACTTGTGAAGTCAGTGGGTTTTGGGTTGGTGGGGCGAGGACACACATCTGGACTCCAACGTGACCGATATGACTGCTTCATCAGCAGTGTGGGTGGGAGGATTACCCAGTGGGACAACTGGTGAGTTAAACATTCCATACTTGACCCCGCAAGATATGAAATTTTGGCACGCTGCATCAAAACGTTTTGAATTCCAGAAAGTACGGCGCACTCCTCCGCTATCATTCAAGAATGTATTTTGCAGTTATTGGGTTAAACGAGGGATTCCTATTACAGATAGTTTGTCTTTCAGTAAACCAAAGTAGACACCCTAAAGGGTGCTTGACAATTGGTGATTGAATTATGAAAAAACCTCAACTTATCAATACATAAAGGGGAATCAAAACATTGAAATTATTATGAGCCAATTTGTGTTATGGAACTCCTGTATGAATAACATGCATCTCACAAGGGAGTTTATAGGTAGAGATTCATTTAAATTATTTAATTCTAAGTATTGTAGTTTTTAGGTCAAAGTCAATTTTAAATGGTCAGTAAAAACATGCAATGAAGCCTTTTCCACCACAACTAAAACAGAAGAAGTGTTAGCACTGAAGTATTATACATCTTGGTAAATATTCTCTTCTGCTTGGAATGACTTTTATCATCACAAAAGTAAGTTATAGAATGTCATTGATTTTTACAGTGTAACCTTGCAATTATGATTACAAGTTTTAAGTCTAATAAACTGCTTTTCAAACAATATTTAAATCATTAAAACAACTACACTGCTAACTGTTTTAGATGCTTAGGTCTTGTGCAACATGATAGATTATTGGTGCAGCTTCCTCATTGTACAACTGTATTGCATTTGACTACCTTTCAACTTTAGTTTACTGTGGTGCACAACAGTGATGGTAAAAAAAGTGCCTTTGTTTGAATCATAGTGTAAGAATATGTACAATTGGAATCAGTTCATTCTCTGAAAATATGAAAATGAAAATCTTATTTTTCTTCCTGTGCTAGATAAGAATTATGGCACCATTAAGTAATTACATGCTGTTATTTATATTTATTGGTATACTATGGTAACTTGCTTATTGAATTCCTTAGCCTCTTAATCTATTGTCAGCTTATTTCCAGTAGTCAGTTGCACAGTTGGGAAGCTCTCAGTGACATATTGTCAGCAGATACTGGACATGCTGACTCAAAATATACCTGAGTTTCTGTTTCATGCTTCCAAATTTGCTGATACACTATACTCGCATTGATTCAGATCGTTATAATTCTGAGTTTGGTTTAATTCACATGTTTTAAAAAAAATTAATGTAACTACTGTATTTGAATTCGGAATGAATCTGCAATAACCGAGTACAGTATCAAGAGATCTGAAAAGTGTATCCAGGGAATTTTTTGAATAATTCTGCATATAAGAATAATTTTTAAATAAGTTAAGATCAAGTTTGTACTAAAGAATAAATGTATGAAAAAAAGATGTACGTATTGTACAGAGAAAATGTGAAGATTGTAGTACTACAGTACCTTGATTTAATTTTAAGAATTTGCATTAATAATTAAAGCAGAAATTGCCTGATACTATTAGGCTGAGGAAAAAGGAGCTTAGTACAGTGAGGTATGCTATAACAAATCTAATTAGTTCTAGAACCTTGTTCGTTATAGCATTTGTTCGTTATAGGATTAATCCGTTCCAGGCCTCCAAATACAACCACTTAACACTGAAAAATATAATATAAAATTGTAAAAATTGTAAAAAAAGGCATAAATATGCATCTAAACCCCCGAAATAATGAATATCATTAATACTTGTAATAAAAAAAACAATAAATTAGTAAAAAAAGAAAAAAAATTCGTTTTAGGAGTTTCGTTCGTTATAGCATTCTCAATTTTATAGGTAAAACCATTCGTTATAGGAATATTCGTAGTAGAATCCATTTGTTATAGCATACCCCTCTGTACACAGATACTAATGATAATTTATAAGTATACGTACAGTATGTTCTTAAAAGTGAAATTATAAGTAAAAAGTAGAGTTTAGAAGTGACCCAATGATAATTTATAAATACAGTACATGTTCTTAAAAGTAGAGTTAGAAATGGCTTCATGATTTTTATAAGATTTTTACACGTGACTATTAAGCAGTAAGCAGTGATCCATAAAGGGAATGAAAATTTTAACTTCTGTATTACGAGGTTTCACTGTAATCTTCATTTTCCGTTGTATACTGGGTGTAAATTGTGATACTACATATCGCCTAATATTTTTGCAGGTACCATATATGTTGACTCCTCTAACAGGGTAAAAGTTCCACCCCTCAAAAAAAATATATATATAGTATACAGTACGTGTATATATATTATGAGAATTGATATATTGTCTCATTACAGTCTTGCGTAAAAAGCCTGTTAATCCCAAAATGGCTATGAGACCTTTGTATTGGACAAGGATACAGTTAACTACACCAAAACCTGTAAAACCTGAACCTGAACCTGAACCGGAGCCTGAACCTGAACCGGAGCCTGAAGCTGAAGTCAAAGATGAAGATGCCACTGATGACAAAGAGAATATGGAGGAAGGTGAGAGTGATGGTAAAGAAGAGAAAGATAAAGACAAGACTGAAGAACAACAAAAAGAGTCAACTGGATCACTGAAGAAGAGAAAGTAAGGGTTTGTCTTTTACTGAAGTACAGTACTGAGGACAAAATGACCTCTTTATATTTGGCTTTACTTACTTCATGTCAAATTAATGTTTTATTCCATCATGAGATAATTATTGTGAATGATATATTTTAGATTTTAATGTTTTTCTTTCATTTAACATAAACAATGTACTACAGTACTGTACTGAAAAATATATTCATGTTCTTAAGTGTAACGTTCAATGGTATAAGGTTGTATTGCCCACCAAACACTTAGTAAATATACATATCAAGGTATTACTATACAGGGCACCAAATTCAAATTAACTGCCCAGGCCCTTTAATTTCTGTAACTCCAGCATTTCCCGTAAAATGGTATTAAAAATTCAGGAATTTACTTTATGAGTAATCTTGAGATGTAGACATTTGGGTAAATAGACTCTGGTTTGTTTCTTGATTTAGCTTTGTCTGGATGTAGGTAATAAATAAAGGCTTGATGTCCTTGGATATTTGCTAGAAGTGAGGCTGGTTTTACAAACCTCCTCTATGTTAAAAGTCTGACAGGTGAAAACATAGTGGTGCTCTGGATATGCTGCTTCACAAGTCATCACTTCTTGGCACTTTTCAAAATTTTTTTTTTAATGGTTAGAGTTGCTATAGGAAAGGTGGCTAATGTTCAGATTTGCCCCAACCATCTTATTTCTGGGTTCTTGGGTTCCAAACCTGTAGGATTTTGCGGGCATATACCTATATATTTACTTAGCCTCTTTGCCACTTATCAGCTTACTGGCTGGTTGGGAAGTCAGTCTATTTGCTATTACATATTCTTAGAAAAGTACTGATAATGTATGGACTCTTGAATGTACCTGAAGATGTGCTCCAGGTTACTCTATAAAATATGCTTTCAGGATCAAGCCATCGTCAATGAAGATGTGAAATTATACTTATTGGTCATCAGTATCTGCAGAAATAATTTTTAAATCTTTCATTGCAGAAGAATATCTGATGTTCCACTTTGGGATGAAATTGAAGAGGAAGAATTTGATGAATCAGAGTTTGTAGATTTATTTGCAAGACAAGTTCCTCAGCCAAAGAAAAAGGAAAAGAAGGCAGATAAGCCAGTTAAAGTCAAGGTAAATTTACCTTTAAACTTGGATTTCCATTTGTCTTTATTAATTCAAGAACTGTAGTAAGGTATAAGAAATGTTGCAAAACTCACATTGGGGTGGTAGAGCAGGAGGTGGGAAACAACATTTACATAGAAATTGAATGTCAACTTGTCCATTATATTGGTAAGTCACATTAGTAAGTGCTAATTCTGACATAAAAATATGTATCCTAGCAGAAAGGCTTCATATTTGGTACTCTTCGTGCATTACCAGAATGATCAAAAGTTCTGAATTTGTTTTTGGTGCTCCCAGTATCCTTTAGGGTGGTTTATGATGGGAACCATTGTGTCTCAGAAATAAACACTATTTCTTATGAAGTGACTAAAATATCAAGAAGGATTTGCAGTATGTAATACAGAGAACACATAAACAAACTCTACCTGCTGGAAAATCAATGCAGTTGATATGATGCATGCTGGTTGGCTTTAAGTGGAGCACTGTGATTGACTGCTTTCATTACTCTGCATAAACAAGTAGGTTGAAAGAGCAGATAGGGTTGTGTATGGTCATATTTTTTTTACTTTCATGTGTAGTAAATGTAATTTAAAATAGTACTGTAAATGATTGTTGAATTTTTGGTTATAATTAAGATTTGATTTTTTTTCCTTCATGTTATAGCAAATTCATAGAGTACAGGGTCATACTGAGTGTTTGTGTTTGTATAAAGAGTGTGTTATACATAAGAGTGCATAACCCTATACTGTATTGTACTATACTATATGTGTATGTACTGTACAGTATAGTGTTTGTTTCTGTAAGAGATTGTATTTTTGTGGAAGTGTATAACTATATTATTGTTGTCATAATATATGCAGTATACTGTATATATAAATGTTAGTGTTATGTTGTGTATAAAATGTTAATAACAGATTAGATTCACTGGCAAAGCAATTGTTGGATTATGATGCCTCGTCTATCAGTGAGACTTCTATCTTCTCACAAGAGTCATAAGAAGTGTGGTCTTGGAATGGATATAAATTGTTATTGTTATTACTGTATGTTCAACAGCATCAACTGTAGACAATCTTTTGGCATAACTCCAGTTTTATAGTAGATATTGTCAGTGCTAGATATAAAATATTAAGTGTCTGTATTGCCAGCTTTGTTTGCTTCTCACATCTTTTGTATTTATTCATATGTATTTAATATTTTATAATATTTGCAACCACTCAAAATAGCTCACAGCCATGTGAACAAATAACCATCAGAGGCTACAATATTTACTTGAACTTTAAACATTTAGGACAGGAGTATCTATGAGGCCATCTGTACCTATTTGTATGCATGAAAAAAATGAAAATTATTTTAATTCAACATTTTACCTTACAGGTTGCTAAAGTTCTAGATAGCAAGAGGTCCCAAAATGTTGGAATTTTTATAACAAGTCAGCATCTTGACAGCGCAGATGTTGAAAATGGTAAGTGGATTTTTGTAGAAATAAGTAATACTGTAGCATCTGGAAATTTATGACTGTTTATTAAAAAATACCTTAGCGAAATGTGACAAAAAGTGTTGGTGTGTGAGAGAGAATATTATGGCCAAAATATTCTGTATTTTTTCTACATGTACTGTGCTACAACAGTAGATCAAACCAAACATTACCAAAACCTAAAGTATTGAAGAATACCTGAACAAAATTGTGTTTCCTGTAAATATATTGTATCTTAAACGCAAGAGGCAGACAGCAGTGGTGTTATTGGGAGAGAATCTACTTTCAAAAATTGACTTCATGTAATTTCTACAGTGCAACATTATCATAGATCAAATAGAAGATTGAAGCAATTTGCATAACATTATGTTTGCTGTAAATATATCCTTATATTTTCCTTACAATTATAGATTTTATTTTATTTTATACATAGCAGTCAATTTTAAACCATCTAGTCACTTGCTTTCCATAAAACTAGTACTGTACTGTACTAGTTTAATTTGGGATGTTACTGTATACATTTAGGGAATACAGACCATGTTAGTGGATAGTTCACCTGTTGTTTATATACCTGTAAGTAAGTCATGACCTTTACACATACATTGTCTTCGTAATCATGATTTCCTTAATTCCAATTGCTAGGGATAATAATTTGTATAGTTTTTAAATGTATTAAAATAAACATTCATTAAAGTAACCTGTTTGTTGGTAAAAAGTATCACTACAGTATATTCTTTTGTTAACTTTCAGCTGTGTACAACTTTGATACTTCAGTTCTGGACCTGGAAGTGTTACAACAAGTATATGAAGTGGTATGTATACTATATATTTATTTATAGATTTGCAAATTCCTCATAATGTTCACAATGTTTCTTTAATACAAAGTACTGATATGGTGGCCGTTCAGCTGTGTATAGTGTATAGTGCAGTGCTCAGAGGCTCTCATTTTTTTAATGAATTTTTAGAGTCACTGTACAGTTTAAGTAATCTCCCCATTAGCCTGAGCAGTTGGTGCCGAGCTCTTCCAGGAATAAGTGATTTATGGGTAACGGGACGAATCTCTCAAACCCAGAAAAAGTCCCACATCTTCGCCCGGAATTTTTCCGGGTACAGTACTGTACTGGGAATAGCTCCCGAGAGTCGAATGTTTCTTGACTACGCATCTCCTATCTCTCCCATTACATTTAGCTAGCAAGCACGAGAGGAAATATTTAGAGAATGAATTCGATACCATAATGGTACTGAAGAAATTTTCTATAAGACTATTTGAATAAAAGATCATTACCGTAAACAAAATATTTCAACATGATGTAATGATGGGGACTCGAGTCTTTTATGAAAAACATAAGAAATATTTATACCGGAGTCTATGAAATCAGTTCTAATTAAGTTAGAAACACCATTTTTTTTGCTCAAATCATGATTAGTTTAACTAAAAGTTTGGTGAAATAAATATACGTATTAAAAAATACTACTATATGATACGGGCGTGCGAGGCGTGAATGGACATGTGTATCACAGCCAAGACAGTGGAATTATCCACCCTGCACTGGGGAAAGTTTCTGCGAGTTTAAACAATGCATCTCACGCAGACAGACACAGAGCTGTATTTATTTATGCACTGTACACGTACAATATATTGTAATTAAACAAAATAATGTACACGGTACTGTATATACTGTACTCGCCAGCAGATGCTGTCGTCTTGAACCTAAAGTAGGCATACACTGTCCACTCTGCTGAATGTAATGCGTTACTGATTACCCGGTACGTCTTAACACTTGTGATTTATCTGGGGTAGGGGATTATTGGGTTTCATGTAATTGACCAAACCTGATGCAGTGTCAGGTCACAATTTGTATATAAACTCTTCTCTAATTTCCGGTGGAGGAGGGGTGCGGGATTAGTGGTTTCATGACTTGAAGGCTAAAGATGTCTTGAATAAAGACAAAAGCTAAGGTGCTCCAGTGTTTCCTTTTTCCTTTAACTATGGTACTTTTACACAACTGAATGAACAGTACAGTAAATGTAACAGCTTTAACACTTTGTTCTTGAAGATGATTTAAGTGCATCATGATGCTAGGCTCAGAGAGGATTAGCTGGGAAATGCATCAGCCTATCATGGGCATCCCATGCAGTCACATCATTAGCCAATCACAGCGCGTGAGCCTATGGTCCAAGTCACCCAATCGATGGTTCCACCCTGTATGTAGCTGGGATATACCACCAGTTACCACCTATGTAACTAGTTGTAGTTTGTCTGGTAATCCCATCCACTAGTCCCCTATGAGCTGGTTATGATTAGTAATCCACTAGTTCATGATAATGTAATTGTGTGGTGGAGTTCCTTGTAATCTCTGTTTGTTGGTGTTTCATTTTTTATAGTTTTACATTATATTATCTTTATTTCTAAGTCACACTACAGTACTGAAATAATTTTCCACAACATTTATAGTTTCATTACATATAACAGTACAGTATGTGGCCATTTCACAGGCCACAGCTAACTCAGGACCTGTGTTATGTTTCGAGTTTTACACTTCATTCTGATGGCTGAAATCTTAACAACTATGGTGATAGTCTTGTTGGATTCCATTATTTTCTTTGATTTATTTTTTATTTTAATTTTAAGAAAAAAAGGGGAAATGAATTTCGTAACAAAGATGCTTAATTAAATTTAATTATTTGTGCATCTTTTCAGAGAGGAAGTGATGGAGAAGTGACCATGATAAAAGCACAAGCAGAAGCATTGCCTGATATTCCTCTTGACAAGCCTGAACAGTGAGTACTATACTTTATCACATGATAAGGTTATGATACTTTGTTTACATTTGTTTTCACTTTAAGTCTCTTCACCACTGATCGGCTCGTTAGCTGCTTGGGCAGTCGGTCACGTCTCTGTTGGCAAGTTCAGTAGGCAATCATTTAACCGCCGATCGTTTATCCGAGCAAAGGCTTTACCATGCTGTATTAATTGCAACTGATAAAGCATAGATAACCACCATACTGACACACCTCTCAAAGTTTTTCATCACAGGTACTCAACTTTTTTTTCCTATCGATAAGGAATTTTATTTTGACTTTGCACTTTTATCCATTGGGTTCTCTTTAGGGCATTTTGAAAATAATTAGTTAATTACAAAGAGAAAAGGCAACACACAGTTACTCAACTCTTTAAAATGGTACACAAATAGGCATGAATTGACGCGATTTCATCCAACTCGCAATGCCACATCTATTGTATTGTACAGGGTGTATATAAAAAATTTACAGCTTTTGGGTACATCCACATTCCAGGAACCTATATTATAGGCAGTGAACCTGTACTATCTAATGTATTGATTAACAACTTCATAGGTTAATTTGACATCCTCAATCTTTTCTTTTGATGCTCAGGATATGTTTTTCATTACATGTCACATTCATTGTATTTTAAATATATATGTACTGTATATGCAGGTATATAATTATTATTATTTACATTTTTTTCAGGTTCTTGCTAGACCTCTCCAAAATCAATGAATTTGCAGAGCGTACTGCATGTTTTATGTTCCAAGCCACATTCACTGAAGAAATTGGAGTTATACACGACAGAATTAATATGTTACAGAGTACCATAGATGTAAGTATTTGGGTTATTCTAGGTTTTTTGTCATGATGTCTATTATTTTGGCTTATGACTTCCACCAGGCAACTTCTCATAATATGGGCTGGTAGTTGGTGTAGTATTAAGTCCAGTGACGACCCCCAGTTAGGATAATACTTTAACATTAAAGAAATATCAACAATTCCCACCTCCCATTACACCCTCTTCCCCAAAATGAAGATTCTGGTGCAACAATAGTGCTCTTGACCGGTCGGCCTTAAAATAACCAAGTCTGATTCATCCATACAAACTGCACCAAGAGTTAAAACTCTGCCATCTTATTTTGGTCCATTCTAAATTTTTCCTGGATGCATAATGGTGATGCTCAGTAATATATTGCCTTACTGGGAATACAGTAGTTTGAGCTTGGTGTGAAGTTTATTCTTGTCCCTTGTTTGATGTTTCTCAAAATTGGGTAGAATTTATTTTCTTTTACCTTTGCCCTCATTTACAGATTTCAAGCTTGGTTTTTATAGGGTTCTGTGTTTCAAAGCTTTTATAAGAGGTATTTTAGTTTTTGAAGGCGAAGGAGTTTCTAGATTCCCATTTAGATTTTTTGGGAGCTCTTTACTCTGTCTTGCACCTTTGTGCTCACTTATTTTGGGGCTGTGGTCATCAGAAGGGTCACATATAGCACCAGGACTGTACAGTAAAGGAGAATTGATATCATAGGATATACTACACCCAAAAGATGGCAAGCTGGCTTTGGACAGTTTTGTACATCTATGGCTAACTGCATTTTCCTCAGATCAAATGTACTGTAGACATGTAAGGCCTGTAGATTATGACTTGCTGTCAACAGCCATGTTGAAGGCAGCACCGTTTAAAATAATGGTTAAATTATTTTTTGTTCAGAAATAAATATGTTTTATATTTAAGTTGTACAGGTAGTTGTAAAGGAATATACAGTGAAAACCACAAGTACCAGACCACCTGAATAACACAAGAATGTTGTAAAAAAACCACGCTGTACTCTGTGCAGGCGTGTTCTCTCATGACCGATAAATAACACACATTGTGAGAACACTCCCCAGCCAAATATGTTTGGTTAAGGCCCCAAAGAACAAAAAGCACCTTACCATAAAGGATAAACTTGAAGTGGTCTACAATAAATGCTCTGTTCTCAAGATAATGCAGAATTTTGGAAATCAATATACTGTACTGTATACTGAAAGCATATCGTAAGTGTGATGCACTTCGTCTCGAATGAAAGTGGGTCCCATAAACACTTGCATAATTATCACCACATAACACACATCGCCAGGTAGTTGTGGCCTTGAGATGACTGTGCATGTTGCCACTGATTCATGTAATGAAACTGCAAAAGTTGTGGGAAAATCATTTCATTACTCTAATGCGATTGAAGTCGTTCATTTTTGGCATCACCCATAGGAGGATTCAAGGGCCTGAAGGAGCTATTTTTTGCTCATAAATTATGTGCTATTGTATTTCATGATGTGCTATGTAAAGTTTTCATTGTTTAATATAAAAAAAAAATGGTAATTTTTGACGTATGTAAAATACAGAATAATCAAGGATTTGAATAGATACCTTTTTACTCGTAGTTAAATGAGTAGTACCTAGGCAGCAATCAAATTGGGAAGCATATTGTCTAATGGTAGACCCTGCTGTCATATGGCATCACAAAAATTGTGACCAAGTCTCAGGTTGCTGATCTGACTGACTTTCTTTCTCATTTACACACAATTGCAGAGTCTCAATTATTTCTCTTACTTTGACAACACAACATATAGAGTACATAGTTTCTCACTCTTGATCTGTTTTATTTGTTTAATTTTTGTATTTATTTATGGTTATTATAATTTTTTGCACCCCAGGCCCCGATGTGGGTCAGTAACCTGTGCCGGGGTGGGCTAATCCCTTAAAAAAATCTACCTTTGACAATGAGGTTCTCCAGAATAAAGTGGATTTTGTGAAAATATCCACATTACTGTCAGAGGTATACTCTACACATCCACTTTATCTCACACTGCACAATTCCATTCATACCACATACAGTACATCCGTACATCAGGACTTGAGAACCTTAAAAAATCTTCTCTGTGGCTCCGAAAGCTTCTAGACTTGAGAACTTTACCTACATCTATTTTCGCTTTAAATAAAAAACAATGACATTTACTGAAAGCATATCATAAGTATGATAGGTTTACATGAATTTGACCTAAATAAGCCAATCTGTGTGAGTGTAATATACTGGCTGTTGTTTTGAACAGTTGATATGGACGTCTGAATAATGGATTACGTCTAATTAACGACATCGCTATTGCTTAATTAGTCCGGTACTCAGGGTTTTACTGAATAAAGATCTATGTTTTTGGATGCATTTCACAATTTTTCTTTTACTTTCAGGTGCTCCTGATAAGTGACAGCATTAAAAGAATATTTGGGATAATTTTAGCTCTTGGAAATTATATGAATGGTGGAAATAGAACAAGAGGGCAAGCAGATGGCTTTGGGTTAGAGATTTTACCCAAAATCAAAGATGTAAAAAGCAAAGAGGCTTCATACACTTTACTGCATTTTGTTGTCAACAAGTACATTGAGGTAAGTGTTCTAGATGTAGGCAGGGTTGGATCCATGAACATCCCAGGTACAAGACCATTTCCCTTTGATATTATACTGGGATTTACTTTTATGCCATTTTAAGGGCTGTTTTTGATGTAGTACTCACATGATTACCTTTATTTTACCCCCCTTACTAAGCATAACCATTGATATCTTGTTTGACATAGAGGACTTGTGTATGGGAACCCTCTCTGCTGAACAATATTGTCTAGCTTTAGCCAAATCAAATATTAAAAATGGCATCTCCATTGTGAAAGGATTAACTGCAGAATATAATAATAATAACAGCAATTGGTATGTTTTATAATTCCCAAATCTCAGCTGGCATTTTTCACTGCTTCTTTCGCTTGTTGCATTGCACTGCCTTCAGTGAATGATCTATCACAATGCATAGATCTTTCCTTATCAACAGTGTCCAGGAAAATGTTAACAGAATAGTTATGATTAAGGATGTAGTATCCTATGTACAGTCTTACATTTTTTTAATGTTAAAAACCATTTACCAGTCTTGAGACCATTTTGAACAGCTCGTGCAGATGTTTTTGAGTGATTGTAATATTGTCTTGACTTGCTACCTTCCCAAATATCTTTGTGTTGTCTGCAAACTTGACAATGTGACTTGGTATAATTTCATCTATGTCATGAATGGAGATCACAGACAGGATAGGTCCAGTGGTATATCCTTGTGGCTCTCCACTGTTTCTTAAAAACTCTTTGCTGTTAGCACTAAATATCATCATACACCATCTCCCAGGACAGACCAGTCCTAAAGTCCCATGATTTTGCTTCCGTACATGATAAACAGTAGAGGAAATAAAATATTAGCTGTAAGGAACTGCAATTATAAAAGGGTACAGTATTATTGTTTATACCTACTGAACATAGATATAATTAATTGTATGGAAGTATTTAATTTGCAATTATTAATGATTATTACGTATTGCTACCAGAAATATGAAGGTCAAGATGCTGGCACAGATAAGGTACAGCTGCCTATCCCAGATCCGTATATTGTTGAACGTGTTTCAAATATCAAGTTTGAAGATTTAGAGGCAGACTTGCAGGAAATCTCAAAAAATCTGAAAGGTGAGATTATTTGTATGTTCATTTACCAAACCTTTGAGTTCTCATTTTAGAGTTGTATTGGAGTAGGTGTTAGTTGAGTAATATAGGAGTAGGGGGATTTCTCTCTGGGTTCGAGAGATGATGTAATGTGCAATTTCTGAAACTGATGAGAAAATTTTCCCGGTACAGTACCTGAAAAATTCCGGGGATGATGGATTTTTTTCCGGCTTTGAGAAAGTAGTCTCGTTACCCGGAAATCTCTCATTCCCGGAAGTGCTCTGCAACAGTTATTCTGTCTAATGGAGATATCACTGTATATACAGTTAGCTATAAGTGTAAAGTGAGTTATATATAGGGAGCAGTGCAGTAGGTGTAAGTTGAAATTTGTTGACAAGATAAAAATGGAAGTAGTACACTATTGAACAACATGTGTATGAATGGTTTGTCAAGAGGGATAAAGGGTACAGTACGGTGATGTCAAGTAATCATACAATTTTAAGAAAATATTTTATTTGAGGTATTGGTAAATATTAAACAAATCCATATACAGGTAATATGACTTTTATCCTCTTCACCACTGATCGGCCTGTTAGCCCCATGGGCGATCGGTCACGTCTGTTTAATGCTATGGATACTGATAAATGTTAATACTTTGATAATGAATATGTTGCTGTAGTCTTTAGATGTAGATTGTGTGATACAAAACTCTCTACTGTAATTAGAGGCACTTTATACTGTAATATTTTTTTATCTTTGTCCTTAGTGTGTGAGAATCGTGCTGAGAAGGTGATCAGGAAATCAGATGAAGAACATCTGCAGCCATTCAAGGATATCATGACAGAGTTCTTTGTCAAAGGTAATTTAGTGTTCAGTGTAAGATTTTAAAGAAAATACTTTGAACTTTTTGATATGAATTGAAAAGGTTGAATTCATTTGGTACCTCAGATGATGGGACAGAGGTAATTACTTTATTCAATTTTTATTTGCCCCTAATATCACATTTATTCATTAATATTGATAGTCACTTTGCAATGACTTAGCCATGACTTTACTTTATCATCTTTGCCTGATAGCTGCTGGGGGGTTAGTCACGTCTCTTGTTACACACTGCTGACAAGTATTGGACATGCACAGGCTCCAGAATGTATCTGAACCATCCACACCAGTGTTGTTCAAGTCTGGTCTTGAATGTGTTCACACTCGGTGCTGTCACAACATTCTCTGGCTGGGTGCTGCAAGAGTTCACAAATCTCATTTAAAAATAATTTTCCCCTGACAATTTTTTAATTTTGTGGCTTCATCAATCAGAGACTTTAACCTCTAATATAATGGACATCTGCTAGTTCCAGGAATGCACACTGAACTGAGTAATGTCCTCTGTGGTGTTTATAGACTTATGTTAATTCACCCCTTGTCCATCTATAGTACTGTACAAGCTAGGGTTCCTGCAGGCTTTCTAATCTCTTTGGATACCTGAGGAGTAATTAGTGGTCATAATGACGCTTGGAAGATTTTAATTACATTATTTCAATGCTAATTACTCGCCAACTATAGGTTTCCGAGGTGCAATTTTTGGGAGATGTGCCTATAGGTTGTTTCATTGAACATTACTAGTTCCTCGTATGCCAAGATTAACATTGGCTTTAGTTTTACTTTTATCCTCTTTGCCACTAATCGGCTCGTTAGCCACTTGGGTGGTCGATCTTGTCGCTGTTACACACTGTTGGCAAATAATAATGGGCATGCACCGGCTCCTGAATATATCGGAACCTGCTCCAGTGTTGGTCAAGTCTGTCCTTGAGTGAGCTCACACTCGTAGCTGTCACAATGCTCTCTGGCAGATTGTCTCCTAAGTAAGAAAAATGCTGTAATGTGTAGGAAAAATCAATGTATTCACAAACTGATTCATTCATCTTCTTTTAAATGCCAAGAAACATTAACATATTAGTGTACTTTAAAAATTATTGTGTGGTTCCTGCCCCCCTCCCCCCCTTCCCATGATAAATGCTCATGGGTATGTTAATTTTCTACTTGCAGAAACCTTCTTATGTTAGTTTCCAGAAGTCAGTGATGAATTATAATTACCTTGATCTATTTTCTTTTACAGCGAAGGAAGAGCTGGAGACAGAAAATGAGAATCTATGTGATTGCAAGTTGCAGTGAGTACAGTATATTTATTGTTTATCTTTAATTTGTCATTAAGCAGTGGATTTGGGTTAATGGGAAAGTTAGAGAATTTAAATTGTTTTTTCAAACCTAAATGAATTGTGTAAATTATGACATTCACTCCTTGGAGGATGGTGTAAACTTTGTAAATTTAACTTGTAAAAACAAGGTTAAAGATGAAATTTTTTGCTCTATACTAATGTAGTTTTATGAAAATAACATGGTTGATACCAGCATATGCTGGGGGTGTACAAGAGTTTTTGGCAGTGTAGAGCAGTGTCTGGTAGTGTACATGAGAATGTGGCAGTGTACAGGAGAGTCTGGCAGTGTAGAGGAGTGTCTGGCGGTATACAGTCATGCCTTTGTTATCATGCCTAATTGGGACCGCGCCGAGTGTGTGATAATGAAAAACTCGATAACGAAAGTACAGAACCTATGGGATTTATTCTAATTGGTTCCAGGCACCCAAGACCCAACCCCAATTTTCCCATTTTATGACCATTTAGATCAGGGGTGTCAAACTCATGGCCCTCGGGCCAATTGTGGCACTTGGGATGGTCAGGTGTGGCCCGCAGGATGACGGTAAAATTTATCATCCCGTGAAATTATGAAAGAAATAGATATAATCACGTTTATTTAGTAAAATGAATTTTACATACTTAAGATCAGACAAACCCAAATGAGGTATTCCTGGTAAGCCAGGTAAGGCAATATGTGAAGCTGTAAACTTCAATCCTGCAAATATGTGATATAGCACTTGTGTTGGCCTTGAAGAGGGTAACTGAAATATGAATTGGCCCTGGAAAGGTATTGAGTTTGACACCACTGATTTAGACCCACTAAATATATAGATAATGTTATGGTAAGTATCAGAAAAACACATAGGCATGGCTAGGTTTATTACAGTGATGAAAAGGGTATGCTCAATACTGTAGTCCACAAATCATCTAGCTATGCTTTCTTTATTTGAGTCCCCCGTCTGAGGAGTCCGTTTTCTCATTGCTTCAGGACGCCTGAGTCCTCCGGTTTCTCTCAATCTTAGAGTGCACCCGAGATGTCGTTATTCCTTAGAAATGACACAGAATTTGAAATTGCAACTGGGGTTGCAATTGTTGAGGCAACTTAGATATGTCTGATTACAGCAAATGTGCTATTGTCAATTTGTAGTTGCAAGATTTTATCCTCAAAAGATGGAGGTGAAACAAATGGGTAAAAACACCTGGAGGCAACTGTGTGATAATGAAATTCTCAGCTTGAAAAATGCATTATAACAGCAGGTGTGCAGATTTTGATGGAGGCGTGATAACGAAAATTGCGATAACCAAGGGATGACTGTACATGAGTGTTGGACAATGTACAGAGTGACTGGCAGCATACAGGAGTGTCTGACAGTGTGAAATTTAGTATTTACCTTCTTTTTTTCTTCTTTTTTAAGTTATTGTACAGGTTGTAATACCTAAACTGTAATTTGTTATATTTAGGAGTTGGAGTATAAAAATAGACAGTAGATTAATGGATCTTCACATTAACAGTATTTACAAAGTAATAAATTTGAAATTACATCCAAATTGTAGGGCTGTTTAATTAATATCACAATTTTTAACTTGCAGATTTGATGTGGTTATGAAGTATTTCCAGTTTAGTGGTAAAGGGAAGGACGTAACACCATACGATTTCTTCAGTGTATGGTCACCATTCTGTAATGACTTCCTTAATATTTGGCAGAAAGAACAACTGAAGCTTGTCAAACAAAGGTTGGTTATAGTACAATTTGTTTTTCATAAAGAAGACAGAATTGGGTTGAAGGGTTAAATGGGAACCAATTTATCAGGAATAAGGTAACTGGATCAGTAACACAAAATATTTTGGCTCTTGTTTGATTGTTGTCGGTGGGGGTACAACATTATGACCAATGAAGAGAGAAGATATGAACACTTAAGAGAGTGACTGAAATGAAAATTGAGCAATATTTGGTGTACAGTGTAAAGACTTGGGTAAATTCTGTGATATATATTTAAAAAATTAGGAATTTTTTAAACAAATTACCCACCCTGAAGGAGACATGTTTGAGAGGTACTGTACTTGGCTTGGACAACTCCCACTAGATAATTTCTTGGGCATTCTAGGATAGTACAGGTAGTTCTGCTATAACGCGATAATTGTGTTCTTGTAAAATATCGTGTTATAGAAAATCGCGTAATAGAAATAACAGGGCTTATGGAGAAAATAGGGTTAGGTGCAGTTTACTCGAAATCGAAAAAATTTAGTAGTTAGCCTAACACAAAGGATAGCACAGTCTAAATAAATGTTACATTCATATCTAATAATGAAATCATACAGTAAATTTAACACTTTACCTTGAAAAAATATGAATGTAACTTGATGGGGGAGAAGGGTGATTTTGAGGTTGATAACATCAAGCTTCTCTTCAAGTGTTATATCCTTTCTTTTACGATAATCACCGGGAATTCTATCATCAGAATGCTTTTTGGAGATATTCTTCTTTACCATATTCACAGTTAATACCACAAAATTGGAGAAATAGTAAGCAAAAATCGCGTTATAGCAAACAAGCGATCGCGTTATACAAATATTGTTCCGAATTCATAAATCGCGTTAGAGCAAATTCGCGTTATCAAAACACGCGTTATAGCAGAACTCACTGTACTTATATTTGCCCCAACTTCAATACAAAGGCTTCCTCCCTCTTTGTTACTAACATATTGTTTATTTCATTCTTTCTTACTCCAACATCATTCCTTCACTCCGTATCCATTGTTGGAAGAACATTTTACGAAGGTGATCCAGCACAGGCCATTCATATAGTGGTTCACTAGCTAGACTAAACTAGGAACATGCAAATAGGAGCATGACAATTGTGCTTCTATGAAAAAGAATAGTCACCATTTGCATACACCCCAGGTTTGCCATAGTAACAGAGACCAGCTGGGATTCTACCTCTGCCATCTCCCTAGCAATGCTCATTCCCCACACACACACACTCATTTTGCATAGTTAGGAGTTGGGTTCCACATTACATTCATCGTGTTCTTCATTTTCCTCCACAGTTTCCCCTACCAGGCTGTTTCAGTTGCTATTTCCTCTCTCTTCTGTTTTAAATGTGTGTGTGTTGGGAGTTTCTTGTTTTACCCTGGATTTGCTGTGTGTCCTGTAATCCTGAAAGTTTTCCTAAGGGCTTGGTTCTGACTCGATGTGGTTTATTGGTTATGCACTGACATGCACTTTTTCTCGTCTTAACAAGGTTTTTTCTCCTTCTTTAGCCTTGCCACTATATATGGGAAATTTTATAATGAGGCTTCTTTACATTGCAGAATGAAGGAAGCAGAAGAGAAAGTGAGGAAAATGACAGAAGAGAAGAAGGATGTTGCCAAGAAAACCAAAGAGGCTGGTGGATTGAAAAGCAAACTTAAAGATAAATTGAAAACAAAGCAGTGAAGTGAACCAGTTTGTTAATCAGCCAAGAATAGGATTTAGAACTTATATTTAAGTGAGAACATTACATATAATAGCCAGCTATCAGATTCTTGGTCATAAAACTGTGATTAGGATTGATGTTGTGATACTCGTATTAGAATTTTCTGGCAAGAATGACTTGAGTGTACTATACTGTATATTTTTCAGGTTTTTTTGACATTCTTAATTGTTTGATAAGGCTGTATGAAATGAAGCATGTTAATGGGAGTTTTGTAGATAGTAGGCCTATTAAGCATATTCTGTGTAAATGGTTTTTAGATACTTTTGAATGATCAATGTAATTGACATGACATTCTTTTTTCTTTTTTCTTTTTGCAATTGAAATTATTATAAATTATGATTTTCCAGCAGTTCATTTCTTACTGTATCATCAAAAATGGAATTGATAATGCCTTTAAGCTGATTAAAATTTCCTGTTGATATCGGGAAAAGGACTTAGTATCCATACCGTTGGTCTTTCGATGAGGGCAAATATTATGAGGGGCAGTGATTTTTGGGGTTGAGTGACGTTATAATTGTCTGTATGTCAGAATGTAAGTCATACCAAACTGAAAATAATTATTTTAGGTGCCATTTTGGACAAACTGGGGATATAAAAATCCAAGAATTTCCTAGGGTTTTGTAGCTATGAGAATCTGAAAATTTGGAAATATAATGAGTGTGATAAGTCAGTACAGATACTTTTATTTTCAAAATTTAATGTTTTTATTTTGGCCAAATACTTAGTCACAATTTGTACATTCACATATATTGTATATTTTCATTATCACTCCATCATATCCATGACATAATTGCTAAAACTCTTAGATTTATCAGTATTATTATGCTTTTCCATATTATAGTTCATATAAAATTCTTAGTATGAGCAAGGTATTTGTATACATTACTCTCATTTATTCACTGGCTTTCTGTCTACAGTAAATATTCTGCAAAAAAAAAAGTATTACAGTAAACACTCCGAGTACTGGACACCCGAGTAATGACTCGTGCTGATGTGGACGTCTGATTGTGACTTAATTAGTCAGGTACTCGGGGTTTTTACTGTATTTTATTATGAAATTAGTATCCATTTGGGTTTTGGTTGCCTTATATCATTAACCTTGTATAAATAAATAAATTTATCATTCATATATCCCATCTTACCATAGTGACTAGAGAATTTGGCCTTAATGAAGAATATACTGCCAAAAACCATATAATTTTTGGATAACGCCTCACTTAGCTCTTCATAGTCACTCGGGTGTTCCGGATCTCATATTGTATGGTAGTTATGGTGCTTCCAAAGATGAATCTTGCATGGTGTCTGGTAGTTGAGAGGCCAGCTGTGCTTTTCATAGTGTCTTTATAATGATACTTGTTAATAAACTAATTTTTTATATTGTACCTCTTATTTACCCTGAATATTTTTATACCAATGTTGCCATATTGGACAGTGTGTTTAGTGTGCAGAAAAATTTTACATATGCTGAGAGGTTTGTGATGTGATACTCTGTGGTGGCCAGTCTGCGAGTGAAGGTGGTGAACCCTTTTCTTTTCAGGTAATTTATATGCCGTTTGTTGTTTTATACGAATTATACCAGTGTCCGTGCATATAATCTTATGTATACTGATAGTGATGAGGGAGCACTCGAGGTACCTATATAATGATTGGGAAGGCCCAATTGATACGGACTGGTGTACTATAGTGAATTAGTGTGGCCTTGTCTGAAGGTTATGGTATTTACGTCTGTGTACGACTAGTAAACATAGCTACCTCGGGTATCAGATGAAAATATATGAGAACAATGATCTGGAAAAAGGATTAATGTATCAGACATGTGAAGTGTTGGAAATGACCCATAAACTATACTCCAAGGTACTGTCTTATGTACAGTAGCTAAGACAACTATCTGTGCATACTTTGTGGGAAACAATATGAGACCATGGAGATAAATTTTGGTATATGAGGGCTGGGGGCCATCCCTGGAATGGCCCCTAGGGCTCTTCACGTGGTAGGGCAAATAGGAGGGCCACAGGGTGCGCTGTCCCTGGAGGGCGCCTGGGAGCAGTTGTTTTTGCACTATTTAGAACATTGGGAGATATGACGTTAAATAAATTCCGCAAATCTTAGTATCATAGCACCATGAACAATGTAAAGGAGAATAAATATCCAACAGGGAGACATAAGTTGGGGTGTTGTGCTGACTGAGTGCTCTGTTCTCCTATTGGCTGTTTTTGGTGTATTTACATTTTAGTCCACCAATCACAGATAAGTTAGGGATTGCTAGATGTATGCAATATGTATGACAACACGACCAAGCAAGCTATAGGGCTCCTGGGAGGGGGGTGTCTCTGGTACAGTCCCATGGAGAGCCATCAACCCTGGGAGGGCCCCTTGGGTCTCCCCTAGGAACTCCGCCGCCTCTGAGAGGGTTTCTGGGGGCGCCCCCACCCCTGGGAGGGCCCCTGGGGTCACTGCTGGTTCTGGGAAGATTTCTGGGATCGTCACTGCTCAAGGGAGGACACCTGGAGTCGTCACCGCCCCTGGGATGACCCCTGGGGTCGTCGGCGCATGTGGGAGCGCTCCTGGGGTCGCCGGCTCCCCTGAGAGGTCCCCTGGAATTGCTGCCATACCTACAATGGCCCCTGGAGTGTAGTCGTCCCTTGTACGAACCCTGGGGTCGCTGTAGACCCTTGGAAGGCCCCTGAGGGTGTGGCTACCCCTGGGATGGCCCCTGGGGCACTTCATGTGTAGGACAAATGGGAAGGCCACAGGGAGCACTGTCCCTGGAGGGCGCCTGGGGGCTATTTTTTTTGCACTATTTAGAACATTGGGAGATATGACGTTAAATAAATACACCGCCCATCAATTTTCCAGTATCATAGCACCACGAACAATGTAAAGGAGAACAAATATCCAACAGGAAAACATAAGTTGGGGTGTTGTGCTGACTGACTGCTCTGTTCTCCTATTGGCTGTTTTTGGTGTATTTACATTTTAGTCCACCAATCACAGTTAAGTTCGGGATTGCTAGATGTATGCAATATGTATGACAACACGACCAAGCAAGCTATAAGGCTCCTTTGGGGGTGTCTCTGGTACAGTCCCATGGAGAGCCATCAACCCTGGGAGGGCCCCTTGGGTTTCCCCTAGAAACTCCGCCGCCTCTGAGAGGGTTTCTCGGGGCGCCACCGCCCCTGGGAGGGCCCCTGGGGTCACCGCCGGTTCTGGGAAGGCTTCTGGGATCGTCACTGCTCATGGGAGGACAGCTGGAGTCGTCGCCGCCCTGGGATGAGCCACTGGGGTCGTCGGCGCATGTGGGGAGGGGCTCCTGGGGTCGCCAGCTCCCCTGAGGTCCCTGGAATTGCTGCCATACCTACAATGGCCCCTGGGTGTAGTAGTCCTTGTCACGAACCCTGGGGTAGCTGTAGGCCCTTGGAAGGCCCTGAGGGTATAGCTACCCTGGGATGGCCCCTGGGACGCTTCACGTGGTAGGGCAAATGGGAGGGCCAAGGGGAGCACTGTCCCTGGAGGGCTCCTGGGGGCAGTTGTTTTTGCACTATTTAGAACATTGGGAGATATGACGTTAAATAAATCCACCACCCATCAATTTTCCAGTATCATAGCACCATGAACAATGCAAAGGAGAATAAATATCCAACAGGAAAACATAAGTTGGGGTGTTGTGCTGACTGACTGTTCTGTTCTCCTATTGGCTGATTTTGGTGTATTTACATTTTAGTCCACCAATCACAGTTAAGTTAGGGATTGCCAGATGTATGCAATATGTATGACAACACGACCAAGCAAGCTATAGGGGTCCTTTGGGGGTGTCTCTGGTACAGTCACTTGGAGGGCCATCAACCCTGGGAGGGCCCCTTGGGTCTCCCCTAGAAACTCGGCCGCCTCTGAGAGGGTTTCTGGGGGCGCCACCGCCCCTTGGAGGGCCCCTGGGGTCACCGCCGGTTCTGGGAAGGCTTCTGGGACCGTCACTGCTCATGGGAGGACAGCTGGAGTCGTCGCCGCCCCTGGAATGACCCCTGGGGCCGTCGCCGCTCCCAGGGTCGCCAGCTCTCCTGAGAGGGCCCCTGGGATCACTGCTCCACCTAGGAGGGCCCCTGGGGTGTCGTCGTTCCTTGTAGGAACCTTACGGTTGCTCTAGCCCCTTGGAGGGCCCCTGAGGGCGTGGCCTCCCCTGGGATGGCCCCTGTGGCTGTGGCCACCCCTGGGATGGCCCCTGGGACGCTTCACGTGGTAGGGCAAATGGGAGGGCCAAGGGGAGCACTGTCCCTGGATGGCTCCTGGGGGCAGTTGTTTTTGCACTATTTAGAACATTGGGAGATATGACGTTAAATAAATCCACCACCCATCAATTTTCCAGTATCATAGCACCATGAACAATGCAAAGGAGAATAAATATCCAACAGGAAAACATAAGTTGGGGTGTTGTGCTGACTGACTGTTCTGTTCTCCTATTGGCTGATTTTGGTGTATTTACATTTTAGTCCACCAATCACAGTTAAGTTAGGGATTGCTAGATGTATGCAATATGTACGACAACACGACCAAGCAAGCTATAGGGCTCCTTTGGGGGTGTCTCTGGTACAGTCACATGGAGGGCCATCAACCCTGGGAGGGCCCCTTGGGTCACCCTTAGAAACTCTGCCGCCTCTGAGAGGGTTTCTGGGGGCGCCATTGCCCCTGGGAGGGCCCCTGGGGTGTTGTCGTTCCTTGTAGGAACCCTAAGGTTGCTGTAGCCCCTTAGAGGGCCCCTGAGGGCGTGGCCACCCCTGGGATGGCCCCTGGGATGCTTCACGTGGTAGGGCAAATGGGAGGGCCAAAGGGAGCACTGTCCCTGGATGGCTCCTGGGGGCAGTTGTTTTTGCACTATTTAGAACATTGGGAGATATGACGTTAAATAAATCCACCACCTATCAAATTTTCAGTATCATAGCACCATGAACAATGTAAAGGAGAATAAATATCCAACAGGAAAACATAAGTTGGGGTGTTGTGCTGACTGACTGTTCTGTTCTCCTATTGGCTGATTTTGGTGTATTTACATTTTAGTCCACCAATCACAGTTAAGTTAGGGATTGCTAGATGTATGCAATATGTACGACAACACGACCAAGCAAGCTATAGGGCTCCTTTGGGGGTGTCTCTGGTACAGTCCCATGGAGGGCCATCAACCCTGGGAGGGCCCCTTGGGTCTCCCTTAGGAACTCCGCCGCCTCTGAGAGGGTTTCTGGAGGCGCCACCGCCCCTGGGAGGGCCCCTGGGGTTACTGCCGGCTCTGTGAAGGCTTCTGGGATCGTCACTGCTCATGGGAGGACACCTGGAGTCGTCGCCGCCCATGGGATGACCCCTGGGGTCGTCGCCGCTCCTAGGGTAGACAGCTCCCCTGAGAGGGCCCCTGGGATTGCTGCCGCACCTAGGAGGGCCTCTGGGGTGTCGTCGTTCCTTGTAGGAACCTCTGTCCCTTGGACGGCCCCTAAGAGCGTGGCCTCACCTGGGATGGCCCCTGTGGCCCCAGATGCCCCTGGGATGCAATGCCCCTGGGACGTAGGAGGGCCCCTGGGGTGTCGTCGTTCCTTGTAGGAACCCTAAGGTTGCTGTAGCCCCTTGGAGGGCCCCTGAGGGCGTGGGGGAGGCCCCTGTGGATGGCCACCCCTGGGATGGCCCCTGGGACGCTTCACGTGGTAGGGCAAATGGGAGGGCCAAGGGGAGCACTGTCCCTGGAGGGCTCCTGGGGGCAGTTGTTTTTGCACTATTTAGAACATTGGGAGATATGACGTTAAATAAATCCACCACCCATCAATTTTCCAGTATCATAGCACCATGAACAATGTAAAGGAGAATAAATATCCAACAGGAAAACATAAGTTGGGGTGTTGTGCTGACTGACTGTTCTGTTCTCCTATTGGCTGATTTTGGTGTATTTACATTTTAGTCCACCAATCACAGTTAAGTTAGGGATTGCTAGATGTATGCAATATGTACGACAACACGACCAAGCAAGCTATAGGGCTCCTTTGGGGGTGTCTCTGGTACAGTCCCATGGAGGGCCATCAACCCTGGGAGGGCCCCTTGGGTCTCCCTTAGAAACTCTGCCGCCTCTGAGAGGGTTTCTGGGGGCGCCATTGCCCCTGGGAGGGCCCCTGGGGTGTTGTCGTTCCTTGTAGGAACCCTAAGGTTGCTGTAGCCCCTTGGAGGGCCCCTGAGGGCGTGGCCACCCCTGGGATGGCCCCTGGGATGCTTCACGTGGTAGGGCAAATGGGAGGGCCAAAGGGAGCACTGTCCCTGGATGGCTCCTGGGGGCAGTTGTTTTTGCACTATTTAGAACATTGGGAGATATGACGTTAAATAAATCCACCACCATCAATTTTCAGTATCATAGCACCATGAACAATGTAAAGGAGAATAAATATCCAACAGGAAAACATAAGTTGGGGTGTTGTGCTGACTGACTGTTCTGTTCTCCTATTGGCTGATTTTGGTGTATTTACATTTTAGTCCACCAATCACAGTTAAGTTAGGGATTGCTAGATGTATGCAATATGTACGACAACATGACCAAGCAAGCTATAGGGCTCCTTTGGGGGTGTCTCTGGTACAGTCCCATGGAGGGCCATCAACCCTGGGAGGGCCCCTTGGGTCTCCCCTAGAAACTCGGCCGCCTCTGAGAGTGTTTCTGGGAGCGCCACCGCCCCTTGGAGGGCCCCTGGGGTCACCGCCGGTTCTGGGAAGGCTTCTGGGATCGTCACTGCTCATGGGAGGACAGCTGGAGTCGTCGCCGCCCCTGGAATGACCCCTGGGGCCGTCGCCGCTCTCAGGGTCGCCAGCTCTCCTGAGAGGGCCCCTGGGATCACTGCCCCACCTAGGAGGGCCCCTGGGTGTCGTCGTTCCTTGTAGGAACCTTAAGGTTGCTCTAGCCCCTTGGAGGGCCCCTGAGGGCGTGGCCACCCCTGGGATGGCCCCTGGGACGCTTCACGTGGTAGGGCAAATGGGAGGGCCAAGGGGAGCACTGTCCCTGGAGGGCTCCTGGGGGCAGTTGTTTTTGCACTATTTAGAACATTGGGAGATATGACGTTAAATAAATCCACCACCCATCAATTTTCCAGTATCATAGCACCATGAACAATGCAAAGGAGAATAAATATCCAACAGGAAAACATAAGTTGGGGTGTTGTGCTGACTGACTGTTCTGTTCTCCTATTGGCTGATTTTGGTGTATTTACATTTTAGTCCACCAATCACAGTTAAGTTAGGGATTGCTAGATGTATGCAATATGTACGACAACACGACCAAGCAAGCTATAGGGCATCTTTGGGGGTGTCACTGGTACAGTCCCATGGAGGGCCATCAACCCTGGGAGGGCCCCTTGGGTCTCCCTTAGAAACTCTGCCGCCTCTGAGAGGGTTTCTGGGGGCGCCATTGCCCCTGGGAGGGCCTCTGGGGTTTTGTCGTTCCTTGTAGGAACCCTAAGGTTGCTGTAGCCCCTTGGAGGGCCCCTGAGGGTGTGGCCACCCCTGGGATGGCCCCTGGGATGCTTCACGTGGTAGGGCAAATGGGAGGGCCAAGGGGAGCACTGTCCCTGGAGGGCTCCTGGGGGCAGTTGTTTTTGCACTATTTAGAACATTGGGAGATATGACCTTAAATAAATCCACCACCCATCAATTTTCAGTATCATAGCACCATGAACAATGTAAAGGAGAATAAATATCCAACAGGAAAACATAAGTTGGGGTGTTGTGCTGACTGACTGTTCTGTTCTCCTATTGGCTGATTTTGGTGTATTTACATTTTAGTCCACCAATCACAGTTAAGTTAGGGATTGCTAGATGTATGCAATATGTACGACAACACGACCAAGCAAGCTATAGGGCTCCTTTGGGGGTGTCTCTGGTACAGTCCCATGGAGGGCCATCAACCCTGGGAGGGCCCCTTGGGTCTCCCTTAGGAACTCTGCCGCCTCTGAGAGGGTTTCTGGGGGCGCCATTGCCCCTGGGAGGGCCCCTGGGGTGTTGTCGTTCCTTGTAGGAACCCTAAGGTTGCTGTAGCCCCTTGGAGGGCCCCTGAGGGCGTGGCCACCCCTGGGATGGCCCCTGGGATGCTTCACGTGGTAGGGCAAATGGGAGGGCCAAAGGGAGCACTGTCCCTGGAATGGCTCCTGGGGGCAGTTGTTTTTGCACTATTTAGAACATTGGGAGATATGACGTTAAATAAATACACCACCCATCAATTTTCCAGTATCATAGCACCATGAACAATGTAAAGGAGAATAAATATCCAACAGGAAAACATAAGTTGGGGTGTTGTGCTGACTGACTGTTCTGTTCTCCTATTGGCTGATTTTGGTGTATTTACATTTTAGTCCACCAATCACAGTTAAGTTAGGGATTGCTAGATGTATGCAATATGTACGACAACACGACCAAGCAAGCTATAGGGCTCCTTTGGGGGTGTCTCTGGTACAGTCACATGGAGGGCCATCAACCCTGGGAGGGCCCCTTGGGTCTCCCCTAGAAACTCGGCCGCCTCTGAGAGGGTTTCTGGGGCGCCACCGCCCCTTGGAGGGCCCCTGGGGTCACCGCCGGTTCTGGGAAGGCTTCTGGGATCGTCACTGCTCATGGGAGGACAGCTGGAGTCGTCGCCGCCCCTGGAATGACCCCTGGGGCCGTCGCCGCTCCCAGGGTCGCCAGCTCCCCTGAGAGGGCCCCTGGGATCACTGCCCCACCTAGGAGGGCCCCTGGGGTGTCGTTCCTTGTAGGAACCTAAGGTTGCTGTAGCCCCTTGGAGGGCCCCTGAGGGCGGGATGGCCACCCCTGGGATGGCCCCTGGGACGCTTCACGTGGTAGGGCAAATGGGAGGGCCAAAGGGAGCACTGTCCCTGGATGGCTCCTGGGGGCAGTTGTTTTTGCACTATTTAGAACATTGGGAGATATGACGTTAAATAAATCCACCACCATCAATTTTCAGTATCATACACCATGAACAATGTAAAGGAGAATAAATATCCAACAGGAAAACATAAGTTGGGGTGTTGTGCTGACTGACTGTTCTGTTCTCCTATTGGCTGATTTTGGTGTATTTACATTTTAGTCCACCAATCATAAGTTAGGGATTGCCAGATGTATGCAATATGTACGACAACACGACCAAGCAAGCTATAGGGCTCCTTGGGGGTGTCTCTGGTACAGTCACATGGAGGGCCATCAACCCTGGGAGGGCCCCTTGGGTCTCCCCTAGAAACTCTGCCGCCTCTGAGAGGGTTTCTGGGGGCGCCATTGCCCCCAGGAGGGGTTGCTGTAGCCCCTTGGAGGGCCCCTGAGGGCGTGGCCACTGGGATGGCCCCTGGGATGCTTCACGTGGTAGGGCAAATGGGAGGGCCAGGGAGCACTGTCCCTGGATGGCTCCTGGGGGCAGTTGTTTTTGCACTATTTAGAACATTGGGAGATATGACGTTAAATAAATCCACCACCTATCAAATTTTCAGTATCATAGCACCATGAACAATGTAAAGGAGAATAAATATCCAACAGGAAAACATAAGTTGGGGTGTTGTGCTGACTGACTGTTCTGTTCTCCTATTGGCTGATTTTGGTGTATTTACATTTTAGTCCACCAATCACAGTTAAGTTAGGGATTGCTAGATGTATGCAATATGTACGACAACACGACCAAGCAAGCTATAGGGCTCCTTTGGGGGTGTCTCTGGTACAGGGAGGGCCATCAACCCTGTTGGGGAAACTGGTTCACAGGGGGCACAGGGCCAGGGAGGGCCAGAAACAGAGGGTTTCTGCGCCACTGGAGGGCCCCTGGGGTGTCGTCGTTCCTTGTAGGAACTTTAAGGTTGCTCTAGCCCCTTGGAGGGCCCGTGAGGGCGTGGCCTCCCCTGGGATGGCCCCTGTGGCTGTGGCCACCCCTGGGACGCTTCACGTGTAGGCAAAATGGGAGGACCACAGGGTGCACTGTCCCTGGAGGGCGCCTGGGGGCAGTTGTTCTTGCACTATTTAGAACATTGGGAGATATGACGTTAAAAAAATACACCACCCATCAATTTTCCATTATCATAGCACCACGAACAATGTAAAGGAGAATAAATATCCAACAGGAAATCATAAGTTGGGGTGTTGTGCTGACTGACTGCTCTGTTCTCCTATTGGCTGTTTTTGATGTATTTACATTTTAGTCCACCAATCACAGTTAAGTTAGGGATTGCTAGATGTATGCAATATGTACAACACCACGACAAAACAAGCTCTAGGGCTTCTGGGAGATCCCTCTGATTTGGCCCCTGGAGCCGCCCCTGAGAGTGTCTCTAGGGGCCCCACCGCCCCTGGGAGGGCCCCTGTGGTCTCTGCTGGCTGTGGGACGGATCCTGGGGTCGTCGCTGTTCTTGGAAGGATCTCTGGAGTTCCCGCCGCCCCTGGGGTCGTCGTCGTCCGTGGGAGGGCTCCTGGGTCGATGATACCTGAGAGAGAGCCTTTGGGATCGCTGCCGCTCCTGGGAGGGCCCCTGGGGACGTCGTCGTCCCTTGTAGGACCTCTGGGGTCGCTGCCGCGACTGGGAAATTCCCTGGGGACAACTCTACCCTTGGGCTGGCTCCTGGGAGGGACCCTGAGAGCCCGGATGACCGTAAGAGGGCCCCTGGGGTTGCTCTAGTCCCTGGAAGGGCCCCTGAGGGCGTGGCCACCACTGGTGTTGCCGACGTCCTTGACAGGTCCCCTGGGGTCATCGCCGCCCAGTTTTACCCAGTAATTTCCCTCATCTTTCATGCCTTGCCCAGTGAAGGTGATTGATGATAGTAAATAGAGAAAAAATAGGGAAAAATATAATGTATTGTTTTATTAGTTATTATCACCCAAACAAATGTGGAACAAATGAAGGAATTAGGTAAATGCCTTCTGGTGCTGTTTTCTGTACAATTACCCTAAATATTAAAATTTTTCTATCCCAAATGAGGCCTTTTAGAAGAATTTGCTGCCGATCAGTACTATATATCATTCAGGGTACCGCCCTCATGTCCGAGGATTGGCGACCACGACCTCCACTCTAAATGTTCTCGGACCATTTTTAATTTCATCCATCCATCCCAGTCTCAACCTTCCCCTGGCCCTCTTACCCTCAACTTTGCCCATTAATATTTCTGTTATTATCCCCTCATCGCTAATTATATGACTAATGTAGCACAGTTTTCTTTTTCTCTACATTTCAGTAATCTTGGAGCAGATGGCTAACACCAGAACACATTGTTTGATTTTGTTATTTTTTTCAAGAGAGATTTTTGGATGATAGTAACAAAAACGATACAACAGTGCACAGACCCTGATAGAACCTGACCTAACCAACCAAAGAAACTCAGTTACCTAACTTCTTAGCAGGGGGCCCAGACCTCCTGTCTAGGGCAGATCCAGGAATATCAACATTGTAGGGTAGTGTATGTGGCCAGACGTCTAATTTCTCTCTGTGTTTGTCTATTTTCTCTTTGTTAGGCTCAAATACATACATAGTTACATACATGAAGGAGATCTCACACTAAGGATGGAGAGGAGAAATGAAACTCACAATAGCGTTTTCTCTTTATATATTATAGGTACAGAACAGTCAGGTGCTGGGAAGTTGCTGCATAGTAGAAGTGCTGTGGAGGAGCTTCTTCAGAGGAGGTCTTCTCTGCTTAAGAGCTTGGTGTTGTCTGCCATCACGATGATGATGATGATGATAATGGAGATAAAATGGCAATGCTTTGCCATGGGAAGGGAGAGAAGAGGAAAGATAGAAGGAAAGTTATGAAATGGGAGGTAAAGTAGTAGAAAATAAGAGCAGGTGGGCTATCCACCTAGCTGAGACGATTTGATTGGCTGTGGTGATGGCCGCACCAAGTGGTCGCCCGAGCTCAAAGGGAACGGGGGAAAAGTTAAGCTAGCTAGCAAGGAGATATTTGTTGTTGTGCTAGTTGTAGAGGTCTACTAGGTCCTTGTGTAACTAGTAGAAGACTCATCTTTTTATTTTTAATATTACTGTATGGTCTAAAATAAGGTGTGACTGGCATCAAGAAGTTATTTATGGTGTGGTGTATAATGGGTCTGGCTATAGGGTGCTTGTTAGTGTTGGTTAAAAGGAGGTGTAGATAAGGATGTGTTATTTGTTTATTGTTTAGTGTACAGTAGTTGTGGCTCTTCAGGGTTATAGAGAAGGCTTTTAGGCCACCAATTGTGTGAGCTTGTGGTGTCCTCTGTTTTTAGTCGAGTACAGTACTGTATATATTTCGTCTTCCATGACTTCTAGTTTGTACCATACTCCCTGTGCTTGTCTGTATGTTTAATGGCAAAATGTTGTATTTTTCGTGAAGCTCTTATATTTTGGTTGTGTATGGGGGAAATTGTTTGGAGGTTCTGCGGATGGCTTTGTTTTGTGTTGCCTGGAGTTTTAATTGGTTGGCACGGCTGATCATGCTTAATGGTATTGGCGGGTATTCAAGATGGGGGCGGACAAGTGCTTTAAATAGGTGTAGTTGTATTTTCTCTAGTCTATTATGTTCTGTTATGTGTTTATTTATTCCTGTTCTTGTTAATGTTAACCCCAGTATTTTTCCTTCGTTTGAGTATTGTATTTCTTTGTTGTTTACTGTGATTGGTGTTGGGTTTATCCTTGAAATGTGTCTGATTTTCAGTTTCTGTGTATTAGTTTTTATTTTCCATTTCTTCTCGTAATTATTGATTTGTATTATGGTGCGAGCTGTTTTCAATGCCATCATCTGTTTGGCCTTGCCTGGATGGTGGATGATCTGGGTGACATCATCAGCATATGCAATGTATTCACCGTGAATTGGTGGTGACATGTCTGAAGTGCAACCTGTGAGAACCTCGGTCTTATTATATATCAACTGAGAAAACTAAGGTGTTCAACAAACAAGCTGGTAACCACAAACATGGCCCCGCCAAGCTTAAGATAGGTAACAACGCTATTGACTAAGTTTCTTCTTTTAAATATCTTGGTGTCTCCGTCCCTTGTACCCCTACCTGCCATACAACAGCTAACCCGCCAATGTACTGACAGATTGAAACCTCTTAGAAGTGTAGCGGTGTGCAGCCCACATTATGGTGCTAATATTAGAATTGTTAAAACAATGTACCTAGGATATATAAGATCTCTGATAGACTACCACGCACCAGTCCTGATCCTCCGTGACAGGAAAGAAATTGACAAACTCGAAAAAATGCAAATTAAAGCACTCAGAATTATCCTAGGATGTCCCATGAGCACTAAAGTACTTACCAGTAACATGTGGAAAGAACTAGGTATACCCAGTGTCAAAGATAGAATAATTGAAGTCAACCTCATGATAGCCCTGAGGCTTTATTCGTGGTGATCCTGATAACATTGCTTTTAAGAAACTGCTAGAATATACGAGTCATGAAACTGGTGAATCTAAATGGATCCAAACTGCAGCTACACATATGAAGATGTTTGGATTAGACCATATGTACAAAGTTGAGACACAACAGCATTTCCTTCAACCCTGGATGACGGTTCCCTTCGATATCACAATACCGACATATCCGCCTAAAAAATTAATTACACAATAATACTGAATAAAATCTTAGTGATAACACAAAAACTAATAATACTGTACTAATAATAAGTTATTTATTGAATACAGGAAAAAGAAGAAAATAGTAAAACTTATATCTAGGAAGTAGTAATACTGAAGTGTGTAAGCTATTAAATTATTCTACTTTGGTTTTCCTTCTCTGTGCCATATAACCAGCTAGAGTTACTCCCATAAAAGCTGACAAGGATGCTATTATTCCTGGACCATACACACTAATTTCCTGTGCTAGTCCTGCTAGGATTGGAGTTGTCATTCCTGCCACTGCTGGGATACTCTGTCCTAAGCCAGTTACTGCGCCAATCTAAAAAATAAAAATAACTAAATAAATAAAATAATAATAACAAACATATAGTACAAGTACTGTACTAAATATAGACCTAGAAATGTAAAACATTTTGAATAATGTACCACTCTCCCATCAGCTACAGAAAGATGACTTAGGCACACCACAGGAGCAAACCTGTGAGGTTTCTGAGGACCTCTTAAGTGCCAAAGGCAAATGGAGCTGTGAGGTTTTCAAGTCTGGACCTCTGTTGTTTTTTAAGGTTTTAGTGCCATAGTCAAGGACCTCTGAGGTTTTCTAGGAGCCAGAACCACCACAGGCACCGACCTATGAGGTTTTCACCAACTCCGACTGAAATCCTGAGACGAATCTTAATATCCAGACTGTGACTCAAAACTGGAGAGGTAGCACCACTGAACCCAGGCTCACCTTCTAATGGGGCCAAACACTAATTATTCACAATATCATTATCAAAACATGTAAAGTACATCAGTTAAGAATGTTATGTCAGGGTCACTAAGAAAATTAGTACTGTATATCTAAAAAAATTTTCCAACTCCATTAGGAAGAGTATTGTATTGAAATTATGAAATATGTAATATAACAGGCTACCTAAGGTAGGCATGATATAGTCTTTACCTTTTGAGGATTACAGCGACTAATTATGATGGTCGAGACACTTGTTTGTATGATGGTTCCACTTATACAAAGTGGGACTAACAAGATGATAAATAAAGTGACTGTTGGGGCAACAGTGAGGCCAAGCAGAGACAGAGCCTGTAGGACACAACTGTGAAACAGTTCACGTTGTGAGTCACCATACAAATGGGACACCTTCCCTGTGAAGAACCCAGCAGCTGCTCCAATGGTTCCCTAGTAAAAATAATAAAAATTAAAAATCCCTTTGTTTACTGAATTATATCACATGCACTATATGATGACATTCCCCGGGCCTACTGTTACTGTATAATACTTTCTCGCTTATCCTTTTTGCCAATGGTCGGCTCTCTAGCCGGGTGGGCGGTCGGTCACGTCTGTCACACTCTGTAGGCAAGTACTGGCACTCTATTATACATTGTTGGTAAGTAATGGTTCTGTTACAGATTGTTGGCAAGTACTACCAACAGTTCATTCAAATTGTGTGTGATTTCTGACTTCAGCAGTAAATTACAATTAAGGTTCTATACACTTAATCATTTTAAATAAAGGACTGATCTACTTCATCAACTCCACTTGCCAGCTCTGTAGCCAGTCGGGCAGTCAGTTTTATGACATCAATGGACCATTGACAAGTAATGTCCTAAACAATTTAAATTAATTTGGTTTATCATTTCATCACTTAAAAGCTTACTCCTTGGTGGTATCAACATTCTCTTCTGGGAGGTTATTCCACGTGCTTACAACAGTTATATTTATACACAGCACACTGAGAACATGCAGAGCATAACTGGGAACCTACCCTATCATTAATGTGTGACTCCAGTCCCACTCAGCTGGCACCCTGGGTTGATCCCTAAATCTCAAGGTGTACTCGGTAAATCTAATTTAATTACTGATTAGTCAAATTTTTAGGGAATACCGCCACGTGTAGCTTACCTCTCCTTGTCAATCATAAAGTAAAAAAAATATATATATGGCAACTGCTGCACTACTGTTATAACCAAGCTAACATATAAAACATTCAAAGTGCAGCTCGGTGTGTGATACATACTACCACTAACACTTAAGGAATGAAGACAGTTATAGGGCAAGATGTTTGGGGATGATATAACATTACGTTACTCCTAAAGGTCTGAAGGGATTAATAGTTTAGATAGGTAAAGAAATTACAGAGGAACATGAGGTTGAATACATCACTGTTATAATTCTTTATTTCTGAGTCATACTTCCAAGAGTGGCTATGGCCAAATATTCCAACAATATTATAAAAGTGATTTATGAATGATATACAGTATAGGGGAATAGTTTAGCAAACAACATTGTGAAGGAATGAAACATAAACTCTGGATGCAGGAAGAAAAGGCAAATTGGAAATGAAGAGCATGAATCCAATAAGTGGGGAGAATATGATGGAAAGAATAATAAATATGGACAAGAGGACACTGTGGAAGTGAAAGAAGTGTTGTAGAAACAGGTAACCAAGGTTTGCTGAGGTGGTATGGAAATACTGAGAGAATGGGAACTGGGACGCAAAAGACTAGTCATAATGAAGGGGAATGATGGAGGAAAGGAAGTACCATACTGAATAGAAGGATGATGGTCATCCAAGAGGTGTAAGTGGTGCATACATTACTAGACAGCATAATGTTGGGTTGTACAAAGTGACAAACATTATGATAAACAAGTTAAGAGAAAATCAAGAACAGCAAATGAAGGGAGTGTGTTGCTCTTGATGATGGCAACACTGCACCTGGAAAAACAATTGCACCAATTCAAAGAAATATAAAGTTTCTTACCTGAAATGACATGATGTAGCCAATAGTCTTTGGGCTTGCACCAAACATCTGATCAATTAGCAAGACAAAGCTGGACCTGAAGGCATAGGAAGCAAATGTCATGAAGAAATCTATTATGAAAATGTCACCAAACACTTGCCAGTCGACATCCTTCATGAACTGGAAAACTTGGCTCAGTGACTCTGTCTCCATTTGTTTCTGATCTGATTCACCATGGAGTGAGTGACCATTGGTTGTCTCTACCTCTTTCTGGACTAACAGTTTTTGTTCTGATTGTCCCAGGATTAATTGTTCAGTAAGTGGTTGTCCTTGGCCACATCCTTCCTGCCCAGGTTGTTCCAGAACTAACTGCTCCAGAAGTGGTTGTCCTTGGCTTGGTTGTCTCTGAACACAGATTGAATGTTCTTGTGTCGGCTGGGAATTTACAGGTTGGGGAGACGGCAACACACCAGGAAGAAGCACCAAGCACAACACTGCACATGAAAGCAAATATTCAATGAAACATTCCTGGTTTAATGAAACAAATATATATAGAAAAAATCATACAATAATCACATTCAGATATATTAATGGGCAAAGTTGAGGGTAGGAGGGCCAGGGGGAGGCAGATACTGGGATGGGTGAATGGAATTAAAAACCGAGTCCCCGGAGAGATACAAAATCTTAGAGGATTGGTAAAAACAGCCAGAGAACTTTTAAAATGAAGGTCACTGTGGTCGCCAAACCTCAGATACAAGGACGGCCCAAAACTGGAAAATTGGAATTCCTACAGCAATGTCGTTTCCTCCAGTGAAGTAAGTAGCATCCACTTTGTAATCATTGAATGCTAGCGACCCCAATACATATGCATTTCTAACGTACTGTATTCTTTAGACCTTTGTTCTAAATGCAGGAGTAAGTTCTGGGGAATCCTGGGACAGATGATAGTCTGTGGATCTGAATGCAAATACTTACATAACTATGACCGAAAATCTCTTATTGAAATCTCCGATGCAGCCTGGACAAAGCAGTGTTTTGAGGCAACTGTATAGTATATTATAAACCTAAACATGTTTTAGTAAGATAATAATTCCATGAGATTTATTAACTTTCTATTAGTAGTTCATTACAATAAAAAGTCATCCATATTAAACAACACATGACGATGAAGCCAGTTTGCTAAGTAAATGTTTCTCATTTTATCTTATCAATATAAACAAATACACACAAGTAGATGTGATGAATTGATTTTGGGGGCATAAATCATACTTACCAAAGTTAACCAGGAAAATCACAGCACAGATGTTACAAACTAGAGAGAAGCCGCCACCCTCCAGCTCCGTCAGGTGCCCTAAGGGAGAGTCACCACTGTCACCTCCACAATACACATCACACTCACTATAATTTACAAAGACTGTATTGTCTAAACTGCAAACAGGTTATCTTAATATTATGAATACTTTACAGTACTGTGTTTCAAACATACATATCCCCCACTAATGTCCATCTTCACCATTTTTTAACCCTTAAGCAATTTACTATGAGTTATTATCCTCTAAATTTGTTCCAACTTTCATGGTTTCCCTTAAATAAGGAGTCAAGAGAACATTGAGGAGTATGAGGGATAAATTCTGTAGTCCTCTCTGGTGAACCAAATACTGTACAGGTACCTACTACACATAGCATCCACTCACCTCCCAGTACAGGTCCCACGATGACGCCCAGACCTAATGCACCGCCATATTTTCCAAATACCTGCGACCTTTCATCAGGAGAAGTGACATCTGCCAACACTGCTTTACATAATGTTGTGGTGTGTTTGAAGATTCCTAAATGTTCAAGCAAGACATTAAAATACAGTTTAATAAAAAAATACACATGATTTTCAATATAATTTGTTTACACGGCCTTCCTACTTCTTCCATACTCTACATGTTTAATCTTAGCCAACTCTAATAAAGCACAAGTATCTATAATGACTAATGGATCATATTGTCTACCTGTTATTAGTATACTGTCCAAAATCCATATATCCTAGCTCACTCTATTTAACCTTCTTAGTTACATCTTCTGGGGCAATGAATGCTTTAATAAGTGACAGACTATAACTGAACTGAGTGTGTTCTGCTGTAACCTTCCTCTGCCCTCCTCCATAATGTCTATCATGCTACTCTCCTCGTCACAAAGTTCTCTCCTAGGACTGTAATGTTTTTGTTTTCATATATTGTTCCCTGTAATCTTAAAAATACATGGCATTTGAAATTTTCCTGTTTTGTTTATACATCCTATTTTTTTTTTAATTTTCACCGCTTATCAGCTTACTAGTCCTTTGGTAGGTTCACACTGGATAACACCCTTCTCATTGGATGCCGGACCGAGAGTTACACGTGCTACCACTGTACCACCAACAAGTCTTTTATCTCTGTATCACTATTGTTAATGGCATCCATCCTCAACACTATGGACTTATTACTTCATTGTTACGTAAATGACTGATTAGCAACTCACGTGTGGAACATAATTTCACATTAAGAAAATTAATTTATACTGTACATAACTTTAAGATATATTACAGATAAACAAATGTTTTAAATTTATTAATATTTTTTTTTAGCTTTGATGTTTGATGACAAGATGGAGTCATTTCATACACCTGTGACTCTGGACAAAACACTGCAAACCTAAGAGTTCAGTCCATACAGTGCAGTAATAATTTCAGTTGTGACTTCTAACTTTAATACTGTAAGTTTCATATTCTTAAAAAAAACTAAAATGATCGGTTATGATAAGTGAGTACAGAATATCCAAATTAAATTACAGTAGTGTATAATGAATTATATCTTACCTGCTATAATTCTTGACACCACCAAAACCAATAAGGATTGAGAAGCCCCGAGAGTCACATAGCCAACAGCTGACAACACAAGACCCAGCAGAAGCAGCGGCCGTCGCCCCCACCTGTCACTACACCGACCCTGGTTGTTAATATAATGTTATTACTATGCTTCAACAACTTAGGTCTTTAAGCACAGAACAAGGTTAGCTATTATGCCATTCCAACAACCCTTCAGGCTTTGAGAGAGGTCAAATTGGTAATTGAGTTGCAAGATATACAAGTTACCTGTATGGTAATAGACTACCCGGTATTAGTTTAGTGTCATGAATTATTAATTAATAAAAATGAACGAGATAATATCTCCCAATTTTATGAAAACTGACGAGTTATTGTGTTTATTTCAAACAAGAAAACTACTGTTATCCAGCTGACATCATCAAACACACTCTTTTCACAGTAACATTGTGACACATTGAGATAAAATATTATGATGGTGGTAAACTGGATCCATTCTCACAAATATAGTAATCTATTCATGAAAGGTTTTGTGTAGAAAAATATGTATTAAAGCATACTGAGGGGTTAGTACTAGATCTACAATCTCTTATGATTTATACAACAGCGGTGTAACATCAAAATATTGTAACTTTTTCCCCCTCACTGTGTATGTAATATTTAAGGTCCCCGTCACTGGGATGGAGTGAATACAAGAGTTCAGTATTCCAACGTGAATACTGAAATGATTCATGAATACATTAATGAATATTAACTTTTTATTGCTATAAGGATGGTATGCACTGGTAGATGATTTTATGATTGGTATTCAAGATATCAAACCTGTCCTGTGTAGGTATATTAATTCATCAGTGTTTGTTGTGTGTTTATATGTAAGGTTAGTGTATAAAGTTTGCTATTGTCTACACTGGAGGAGAGAGGGGGCTATTCTTGAGAGAGGGGGCTATTCTTGAGAGAGAGGGGGCTATTCTTGAAATCTGGTTATAATTCTTTCTGTTTATAAAACTATCCATTCTAATGTGTTTGGGGATAAGCACTGACTACCTATTAATTGCCTGGTGTAGGGCCTCGTCTTTTTACCTTAGTGTATTTGTATGGAGTCGCAGTTGTTTCACTAATAAATTATTCAGGTGTAAATCACTATAACAAATTCCTTTTTCCGATATGAGTAGCAAAGAGGATAAAAGTAAAGAAACACCTGTGTGTACACGTAACGCTTCCCCGAGATCCCAAATATTTTGTTTTTAAATAATTTACCACAATATTTCCATCTCAGACATTGATTCATTTATGAAATTTAGAATTAAGGAATAAAACATGTATTATGTGACCACCAAACTGATCAGTGGCGAAGACAATAAAGTATAAAGTATGAGAGGTAATAATACCCATGGAAAGTGATGGGCTGCATTTATGGCCTGAAGAGGGTGGCCCGAGCCACAGTCTTTTACTTTTTCCTCTTCACCACTGATCGGCTCGTTAGCCGCTTGGGCGATCGGTCACTTCTCTGTTACGCACTGATAAAGTTAGTTAGGATATTTTATTGTGCTATCTATTTTAGAAAAAGAAGTCACAGGTACAGTATAGGTACTCCCGAACATGCTGATTAAGGACCTGTTGACCAAAATTTGATATCTGGATTATCACCTGTTCAAATAGCTTTTATAAAATTGTAATTACATTTGCAAGTCATTTGAATAAGTAATAATGTAGATATAAAATTTTGGTTAACAGATCTTTAATCAGCATGTTCAGGAGTACCTATACTGAGATTTTGAGCAAAATCTATTTTTTGGCTGAAAATGACAAAAATTGTAAGTCTTATGCCTTACAGCAGGGGTCACCAAACTTTTTTCACAGTGGGCCGGATAACTGAAAGAATGACGAGCGCGGGCCGCATAATCATTCTGTTCAATACTTGCAAGCCAGAACGAAAGCTCTGGTAACGTCAGAGCGTAGGCGGAGCTACCACGAGCCGGGGAAGGACTTGGGATCCGGCCCGCGGGCCGTAGTTTGGTGACCCCTGGCTTACAGGATTTGTGGCCAAAAAATAGATTTTGTTCAAAATCTCAGTATACTGTATATAATTTTGTTTACACTACGGACTCAAGCATTTTCCATGGATTGATGTGGTTCAGACCAGCTGGTTTGCAATAATATGAAGTCCTGTGGTGGCAAGTGTACAGATTCCCTAAAAGAAACTATCAGAGGGACTCAGCCTCTGTAACAGCTAAGTGATCAGTCAGATAAATGCTGACTGTCTCACTGGTATAAAGATCACCTGTGAAAGCTAAATAAAGCCTATAAGGTGGATATCAATGCTGCTGGGGAATATAGGAGTCCTGTATATCTGTGATGAGTGACTGCAAGGCTCAGGTGCTGTATTTTTCTAACTATCTAATAAGTTTGTGTATGTATAAAATTTACTCTTAAGGATAAAGTAGACAGAGCATATTTTGTGTTCCACCATAATTCCTCCTCCTCACATTGGACTGTCAGAAAGTATAGATAGCTAACTCAGTAAACCAGACCTGACTCGCCAGCTACTTAACTTTAAAGAGGGATATTAGAGCAAATCAACTTACATTGCTCAAGGTAATGGTGACAGGAGGATTAATTATGAAATAATATTTCAGTATATATAAAGAAAAGGAGATCCCAGTTTAGGCATCATAGGCAAAAACATAAGAGGAACTCACCGCCAAGGGGGCTGACACTAACTGCAGGATGCCATAGAAAGAACGTACAACTCCACCCACTAGTGGAGTCATGCCCATACGTCGCAGGTGCACCACGAGCTGAGGGATGATGAGCATCACTCCCAGAAGGTCCTGAGGATACCATGTCAGAGGTCCATTAAAAGTGTTGAAAGAAACTTGGATTAATAAGGAAAGTATGTTTGTACAAGACTTTAAAGACCAATCTCTAAAAAATTCAAAATTTTGCCAAGAAACACTTAAAAGATTAACAAGCCAAGAGGAAAAATACCTATGATTTAAAAGGTTCATAAGACCTTCAGTCCTGATGATAAAGTACTTGACAAATGCATTGACAAAGAAAACTTAAATCAGTAACTAAAATATCGAATAATCTTCAAAAGAGACTGAGCGGAGTAATTAAACGTGATTCTCAACCTGCTCTTCCACAAGCCTAAATGCCTTTTTATTAACAACATATGACACACCTTTTGGCTTTTGTCGTAAAAACTCTCTTGCCATACATTACCTGTGGACTCTCGCGTTTTGCAGCACTTTTTGGAGGGAAAACCATTACTGACACATGGGTGCCAATGATCCTGACAAAAAGTGTCGCCTACTGTATCGACTAACCAACGCTGCTTATATAAAATGTGATGTCACAAGCCTGCGAGTTTCCCAGGAGGCGAGCCGTGTAAGACCTTGTCAGCCTGCTCCTTCTCAGTGCTCTCACTCTCTCTCTCAGATTCACTCTGCTCTCTCCCTCCTCCCTTCAACAGCCTGTGTGTGTGGAATCATAACTTCTCCAGCAAAAGTCTCTGCTTAGTATCTGCTACCTTATGGCTGTGTGATCTTGGTGTATTTTACTTCTACATGTATTGTCTAAGTGACCTTCTCAGCCTTTTGTGCTATACTTGCACTTGTTAAGACCTCACTTGGATTATGCAGTTCAGTTTTGGTCACTGTACTACAGAATGGATATTGAATCCCTAGAAAGATTCCGGAGGAGGATGACAAGACAAATCCTGGGCATTAGGAACCTTGAGTACAGAGACAGGTTAAAGCATCTGAATTTGCACTACCTCAAGATACATAGAGTGAGGAGTGATATGATTGAGGTGCATAAATGGAAGTCGGGGTTAAACAATGCGATATAACAAAGGAACACAAACTATTCAACCAGGAGCAAACTCATAGCAGTGGTTTTAAATTAGACAAATTTAGATTTAGGCGCAAGATAGGTAAAAAAAACACTGATTTGGAAATAGAGTAGTGGATGAGTGGAACAAGTTACCAAACATCATCAATAACTCTGGGTAGCTTCAAATATAGGTTGGCGGGATATATGACCCATAGGGGTTGAGTGTAAACAGGGCTGCCTAATATGAGCCAATAGGTCCACTGCAGTTTCCTCCATTCTTATGCTGAATAAGCATTCCACCTCCATCTCTGAATGCAAGCACTTCTTGCATGGTTCTAGTTTTAATATGGGTAATAAAATAGATAGTCTTTGCCTCTAACCTGCTAGTCGGTGGCAGTGTGATGAAACGTTGTGACGTAAGGAGAGGGAGGGGTAGGGGGACCTCTTTGCCGAGAGGTGCACCAATATATTGTTGTGTTTAGTAATGTGTCCTCAAGATCTGTGAATACTGACACTTTATATGTGATTAGCAAACCTGACCATTCCACTTGTTAATTTTATAAACTGAAGCACTGCGACTTAACAAACTACAGTGATTTATTTGCATACAAGTAAACAAACAATGCCTTCAGTAAGCCAAATCCACTTCGTGTGTTGCTGAAACTCTCTCCTCTCTCCCCTCCACTAACCCCTTTCAATGGGCCTGGAAGTTTATACAGTACAGGAAAATAAAAAAATGGTATTATTAAAGCTAAAATTCAATTATCCGGAAGGCCGAATGAAGTGACTAAAGTCCAGTTATTCAGACATCTACAGGGGAGAGGGCGAGTGATGTACAGGTTTGGTGCTCCAGTGAGGCCACAAAGAGGTAGTGAGTCAAGCGAAGGAGCATAAAATAAATAAACAGGACGATGATTGTTCACTCACCAGGAAACCCACGACGTACATGAGGCGTTGAATCCTTAACGCACTCATCATGCTTCACCCTCTGGTACGGCGTCGCTTCAGTCACCTCCCTTCACTCTGCCGTATACTGTGTCGTGTTGGTGTCCACATGCGGGAAGAGAAACGCATCGCTAATTACACACGAGCCTGGAGACAACAACGGAACTACCTTAGTGCTCAAGTTGACACAATAAAAACTACACAGTCTTATGTAAAGTGAGTATATATTATCAAAAGAGTGAACAAGACACCATTGAGTCGAACAGATTAATATTTACTTCATCAGGGCCGGCATACACAAAATTTTTAAGTGCTAATAAACAGTTTTTAAGGTTGACATTTTCCTGTTAAGCACTCATAGTACATACACAAAAGTTTTGAGGTTCTTAATAGTACTGTTAAGTTAAGAGGCTCCTGGAGATATTCTTTACTTTAGTTATTTAGTCCCGTGTTAGTTGTCTGTTAGTTGATACCAAGGCGAACCAACAACATCAGCGGCGGCAACGCATTTATCGGGAAAGGAGAGATATATTTAATGAATAAAGTGATTCTGAACTCAACATGCGATACTGACTGGACCGTGCAGGTATCATGGCAGTGAGGGAAACATCACAAAGTAGAACTGGGAGGAACAGGGCTCTAACCCCAGAGATGAAAGTGGCCATAACCTTGCGTTATTTAGTGACTGGAAGAATGTAACTGTGTAGCAGTGATGATTTTGGAACCACTCAGTCCACTATCAGCCGTACTATAACTCAGACACTGAATGTACTAACTGAACCAAAATTTTTTTGTCAGTTTGTGAAGTTCCCACTCACCAAGAGAGAAATTCAAAGAAAGCAGCATTGACTTTATTATTGAGGAAAGGCTTGAAGCAACCATTCAATTTTAACTTTTTGGGGTAAAGGTGTAGATAACGGCTACCACCAGAAGGAATTGTCCGAATTGGTTGATTTTTTTTTCTACACACTAATATCATGATATTAAACACAAAAATGTTAACGATATTGCATAGAAGCTGACGTTGGTTATGTTAGGTCAGGTTCTATTAGGTTCTATGCATTATCATGTTAATTTGTGTTCACAACTTGCCTTAATATTGAGGTTGATATAAATCAGCAATGGCAAGGATGACTATGTGGAAGCATTCACCATCATTTATAGGAAACGTCTCTTGAAGAGGGATTCAGCAAGGTAAACAACAAAAATAATGCCGGGAGGGCAATTGTAAAGAGGGATTGAGTAAATAAATAATAAAAAATTACTTAAAAATCATAATAGAAAGTTGTCGTTTCTTTTAAAATACTTAAAATCATCAAAACAATATGTACCTGTATAGGAAAAATAAAAAAAATCAACACACAACTTCTGGTGGTAGCCATTGTCTACATCCTTACCCAACATTTTGCACAGAACCTAATAGAACCTCACCCAACAAACCCTGGGTATATAAGGTTAGGTCAGGTTCTATTAGGGTCTATGCATTTTTCTATTTAATATCACGATATTAGTGCGTTCTGTGTTTAATAATGCAAAGAACCTAATAAAACCTGACCTAACATACCCAATCTATGGCTATGTTAGGTCAGGTTCGGTATTATTTAACTTGCGGACATAGTGCGCCTGAAAGTTATATACTACTTAAACATTTAGATCTCCCTATTCTGAGCATTTTGAACCCCATATATACCTGGTGGAAATGGAATTTAATCGATTTTAGGAACTTTTCAGTCTTTGTCAGAAGATGATACCGCCGTGAAACCGAGTTAGTTGTGGATCACGCAGGCGCAATATTGATTGACGTCATTCAGTCGTACCAATGATGTATCGATATCAGCACGCGATTTTTTTTACCAATCACATTTGCATTTTTCAAAGGAGCCTGGGTAAGGATTTGAAAATGTACGGCTTGGAAATTCAACGACCAGTGTGACAATGATCGTGGTCGAGGTTGGGCGTCAATCGTGCTCCTCCGATTATTTTAAGTTTATTGCTGAGTTTTACGAAAAAGACAATAAAGCTATAGAATTTCTACGTAATCACGGTGTTCTCCCTAAGTCTATTGAGTGTCCGCACTGTAAATTTAGAAAGAACAAGTATCAGTGGTTTTGCAATTGGCCAAGAAGGGTTGTAAAGAAGATAAAATCAAAAACTTGTAAATACATGATCTCGGACTTCTAACTAAGGTATTGTAGTTTCGGACACGGCGTGGCCCAATGGTATGGTTAGGTTAGCTTAGGTGACTCGTTTTCATGTTCTCCTCCACCCAAAACCCCGATTTCCCCCCATTATCGTTGGGGGGAGAGGAGGGATATCAATTTCCGCCGAAAATAAAGGTTGTATTCGCTTAAAACACAAAAATACACTAGAAAAACATATTGGTCAACCCCTAGGGAAAGTAAATATTCACCTCAGGTTCTATTAGGTTCTATGAATTGTCGTTTAATTTTTGTGTTTACCCTTTTTTTTCTTCAATGGCATCCACCAATAATAAAGTCTGGTCTGCTGTCCAGTTGGGCTTCCTTTTCTTTCGTGGGGTTGAGGCTTCCATTTCCATGACGTTTCAACTTGCACAGACTAGCCTTGGTTAATCCTCCTTCAAACGGTATAGATTCGATTTATTTTAGTGATCAAATGTAAATAAATGTAAATATTGAAATTAATCTTCATAATTTTATTGGGGTTATTCAGAGTCCAAGTGGTGTAAAATTAAATTAAATAGGGGGGGGGGGACTTACTTATTGTCGGGTGTACAGTATTTACAGATCCCCAAACTGTGGCCCACGAAATCAAAGGAAATTAAGAGCCTTCAATAGACAACGCAGCGATGCTCAACCCTAGCCACCTCCTATCACGGGGATACGTCCTTGCATGGATAGAAGACTTTCTACATGACCGCAAGCAGTGTGTGGTGCTTCATGGCACAAAAATCATCATCTGTACCTGTCATAAGCGGGGTACCACAGGGCAGTGTATTGGGCCCGCTGTTGTTTGTTGTTTCCTAAATGACATGCCTGACGTTGTACACTCCTCCATACAAATGTTTGCAGATGACGCCAAGTTATTTCGGGAAATCAAGAACCAAGCGGACTGTGAACAGCTGCAGAAGGATCTCTGTGAGCTCCAAGAATGGTCGAAAAATGGCTGCTGAGATTCAATGTCACAAAGTGTAAGAGGATGCACCTGGGATGTACCAACGGTAAGGAGGCGTATCATATGTCCCAACGGGATGAAGAAACTGCACCATTTGAGACTGAATGTGAGAAGGACCTACAGTAGGTGTGTATGTTGACAATGAGCTGAAGTTCTCGGGCCATTGCGAGAAGGTAAATCGAGCAAATAAATTAGGTCTTATAAGAAGGTCGTATAGATATCTGGACGGTCCATCCCTCGTAACGATCTTCAAGAGTGAAGTGCTTCCCCATCTGGAGTACTGTCACCCCGTCTGGTCCCCGAGATATACTAGGGACTGTCAGTTGGTTCAAAATGTTCAAAGGAGGGCCACCAGACTGGTGCCTGCGCTTCTGCACCTCAACTACCCTGAGAGATTGGAGCGCCTGAACTTGACTAGCTTTTACTACAGACGGGCAAGGGGTGACCTAACTGAGGTGTATAAGCATCTCAAGGAGCACTTCTCAGTCAAGTGTCCTTATTTGTAGCTGGCGGACGCTCGCCCCACAAGGAGTCACAGCACAAGATTGAAGAAGCCGCAAGTCCAGAAAACTGTGAGGGCAAACTTTTTCGGAGTGAGAGTTGTGAACTCTTGGAACAATTTGCCAGAGGGTGTTGTGACGGCACCGAGGCCTGACTTGACCAACACTGGAGCAGGTTCAGGTACATTCAGGAGCCGGTACATGCCCAGTACTTGCCAACAGTGCGTAACTGAGACGTGACCAATCTCCCAAGCGGCTAACGAGCCAATCAGTGGTGAAGAGGATAAAAGTAAAAGTATATGGTGAACTCCTGCTATCCTTAGCAGTGTTTAGCGGTACTTAACAAACAACTATTTGAACGGTAAAGGTTTGCTAGTTAATTTTTGTGTACAACTTTTAATTTTTTACTGTTAGCTAACAGAACTGTTATGTCATTAGTAGAAAAGTTTTGAGTATACCGGCCTTTAGGTAGATGATCTTGTTATCTTAACCAGATTTTGTGCAGATACCTTTTAACAGTTTGCTACAATCAATCTGGTTTTACCCGTCAGTTTACTAGACTAAGTCTGTCTTCACCCGTCACTGATGAGTTCCGTCAGATGTAGCGAGTGACACCTGCCTAGTACACCGCTGTATCACAACTAATAAAACAATGGTGATCTAATATGGATGATTATGGCCAAGATAATGGTTAGGTAAAACAAAGTCCATCATCCACGCCACCAAACACTTATAAACGGGAGAAGGGGAGGACGCGGGGTGGGGTAAGAGAGAAGGGGTTGGGTTGGTGTGGGGTTCGGTGGGGTAAGGGGTGGGCAGGGAGTAGAGGACAGATAATGTTATCACCTCAAGACAAGTACGTACAAGGTTAAGTCGTCTGCATTTTATTATGGTGACCAATCAATTATGTCGCCAGCGTACCTCATACCGGTCTTAAACAACAACTGGAGCTGCTAAATTTCCGTGAGGCCAAAAGCTCAAGGTCATAGAGACTTGTTATGAGAGAATAGGTGGAAATCGTAGATTTTTTTGGTAGAATGATCCTACCTAATACTGTCAAGGAGAACAAAGTTTAGAATGCAAAGTGAGTGATCTGAAGATCAAAATGGATTTAGAACGGGAAACGGAACAAGAGAAGCTATATTTGGTTTGAGAATTTTGAGTGAAAGGGCTTTAGAAGTCAAAAGAAATTTTCACATCTGCTTTGTTGATTTTGAAAAAGCTATTGATAAGGTAAATCACAATAAACTTATTCAGATCTTGGGAACAAATAGACATTAATGAAGGAGATAAAAAAATATTAAATAATCTATACTGGCAACAGGAGGCTGTCCAGATACAGAATGGGGTACCCAAGATTAGAGATGGGTAAGTGAAAGGTGATTTAGTGCAGTGATCGCCTCGCTAATTGTCCCTAACGAGTCGTCAAGCCTTTGGGACCATTCAACCACTCCAACACTGAGGTACTAATTAATTATGCTGGCAATTTATTCCTTACATATCTTCCTCCTGAACGATACCTTTAATTATGGGCGTCATGTGGGCTGTTCGTGGCCGTGTTTGTAGCCGAGATACTGCTTATTCACACCTCATCCACTCACAGAGCACGAGGAGTCACCTGGTGTGCAGCACTTACTAATGATGACTATATTGATTCATGCCGCGTGTGTGTGTGATGAACAATTTCTTTTTTACTTTCATTTGTTACCAACTTTCTCCCGTACACCACGAGACAATGTCCACACTAAAGGTACAACTGGCAACTGTCCCCACCACTCACAGTCTTATCTCTTCTTTTTTTTAATCCTCTTCACCACTGATCGGCTCGTTAGCCGCTTGGGCGATCGGTCACGAGTCTGATTACGTTTCCCTTTCCTTTATCCTCTTCACCTATTATTATTTCTCCCCCTACTTCTTCACCCTTAAGCTCTTATCAAAACTCACTGCACTGTGGTTTAATAAAACTGTGTAGAATACTTTCACTGATGTTATACCGAGAAAAAGCGAGTTTCCACTGTAATTAGCCAGGGTGACCGTGAAAAGAGTGGATAAACACTGAACGGATCAAGATGTGCTGGTCAACTCGAGATATGTGTTGTATAATCACAAGCTGTCTCGCTACAGGATCGACGAGTATTATATAATCAGATGAAGATTTGAATATAGAAGATTGTACAGCCTTCTCGTAGAACACTAAAGTAACCTAAGAAATAGATACAATGTATAAAATGCTTCCCACTAAAAACTTAGATTCGGCAACTCACCTAGAGTGCCATATTTTTCACTATTATTCTTATCTTTCATATTATTTTTCGTCTTCAGTTTTGTCATCGTGTTAGTCACCTGTTACATGTTTTATTTACCCAAGTATGTGTACAAATGTTTAACAGTGTTGTGGGATGTGTCTTAAATGTTTAGTAACCTGACGAATGACGACCAAGTCACGCCCCCCCCACCTACCACTGCCACATATGTATTTATTATTTTATTTGTATTTTGTTTTACTTTTGACTCATCAGTGTTATTTACTCAATTATTGGAACACTTTAATTGTTGTATTTACTTTATTCCGTGTTATTAAATATATTCTTCGGGCATACTTTCTTTTACCCAGTGACTTTTGGTAGTTTCTTTTGCACACTCCTCAACCAGCAAGACTTTCCTGTTTTGTACTTTATTCACAACATATCAGGGCCTCATTATATAAGGCTTACACGATAAATATTCTTTGTAACTTACGATTTTCACTGAGGTGTGAGAGTACACCTAACTGGCTGACATAAGCTATAACTTGAAACAATGTTCAAAAACAACTTAAGAATTTCACAGGTACTTCTTCTACCTTAGATAAATACGTTCACTTTGTATCAGCTAGGAGACAGAAATTAACGTAGATTACATACTGTATTCATCGTGAGTTACAATCCAGGTTTGTCGACTGTAAGAAGCAACATTACTTAGAGCAGACACTTCTAAACAACTGTATATCTCGTCTTCACTGGTAAACACACTGAGATTCCTGGTCACGCTCTGGACACTCCCACCCATACAGTATTACTGCATGTCCTATAATTCAAGTCAGTTTTGTACAGAGTCGGGAATATGTAATTATATCACATGCTCTTGTTCTAGAGTCACACCGAAAAGAATACAACTCCACTATTAAATAGGTTAATAAATATATTTCTAGTTAAAGAAAACGTAAGGGTTGACTGTAGAATTTAAACGACCAACACAAGGAAAACTAGCGATTTCCTCAACCATTCACATCAACTGTTGGTCAATTTGTATTTTCGACCAACCACGGCTCTCGAGTTGAGCAATGTGTTTTTCCGATGGTTTAAACAATTCTAAGACATTTTTCTTTTTTGACGCTTCCCTCGCAAATTACTTAAAATTATGTAACCTAACCTCCTAACCGGGGGGAGGGCTCCGTCATAGAAGAAAAGTGTGTTAAAATTGCCTGAACCATCGGAAAAACACATTGCTCAACTCGAGAGCCGTGGTTGGTCGAACCTACAAATTGACCTGTTTACCTCTTGGCCACTGATCAGCTCGTTAACCGCTTGGGCGGTCGGTCAAGGGTCGGTCAGGTCCCTTTTAGCACCGATTTTTCTAGTCCGGCACCTCTGTTAACCGCACTCACTTTGTTCATTCTGCAGTTGCTGGTGGTAGCCCCTTGATTTTGTGTGATTCTTAGCTTATTTTGCACATATCTAATCCCAGCTATGGTTTCAAAGGCAAGTACAAGAGGTGTTACAAGATCTGTGGCCAAGGAGGTAGGAAGTCAGCTCAGTGAAGAAAATCTGACAGAGTGGATGAGTGAATACGAAGATGCACCTGTTGTTCATCACTATTCCGACTCTGAAATTGTAGATATTGTTCTGAATCCTGAAAAAAAGCAATGAAAGTGACGAAGAGGAAACAGATGAAGCTGAAAGAGTTTCTATTGACAAGTTAATTGAGTTGTCGGGTCAGTTTATCAAAGGGTTAGAGCAACGTTCCTTCGTGACAGAACAACAACTAATGAATGATTATTTGATGCATAAAAAATTACACAGGGAAAGATTAAAGCACGGTTTATTGATTTTACTGAACGACTTGTCCAGTTTATAATCAACAATAACCCCAAGGAATTTATTATTTTCACGTTTGAGGACTGTATTACCAAGGTACAGGGGTCCAGATCTGGGGGTAAGTTTTTCCTTCTGGAAAGATTGTTGAATGGGTTTCTTCGAGGTTTTAGATAAGTTTATAACATATTATCCACTTCCTGGCTTCTAATCAAGGAATAAACATGTGAGTGGCTGGGATAAAGATTACTGAAGTGAGCTCGAGTGGACTATTTCACTTGTGTATAAAGGGAACAGTACAGGGCAGAGGATGGAGCCTTGAGGGACACCATACAAGATAGATGAGGAGTCAGTGTTGATTATTATAGCTGACATACTGCTTACTGTTAGACAGATATGAGGTAAACCAATTGTGGGATAAGCCCCTAATGCCGCAATGTACAAGCTTTGACAGGAGGATGGTATCAAAGGCTTTAGAGAGGTCCACGAATATTCTGACTGTGAACTGACTATCATCAAAGGAGTTCAAGATGTCGTAAGTAAAGGATAGCAGAGCACTCTAAGTCGACCTTCTCGCTCTAAATCCATACTGAGAGTCTGTAAGGATGTTTTTGTCACTGCAGAATGGGTTTAATTTATTACATGCCAGCTTATCCAGTTTCTTACTTAAATCATCTCTTTAAAGACATCTACTGTTTAACTATTAACATACTTGTAACACCAACCTCAATGATATATAATCAGTTCCTTTTTATCATGTCATAAATAACTCTACACTAACAAAAAATAATAATAATTGGGTAATATTTTGATAAGTATTTACTAACATGACGTAATGCATGACCCACAGTGCCAAGATAACACCTTGACCCACAGTGCCAAGATAACACCTTGACCCACAGTACCAAGATAACACCTTGACCCATAGTGCCAAGGTAATTCAATGACAGAGCGATATGTGAACAAAGTGGAGGCAATGGAGTATGGAGTGTCACTGTTTGTTTACATGGCGCAGGTGACGTCACGACGCACCCAGCAACAGCAACCTCGACGACGATGCTGAAGAGGAAGAGGAGGAGATGGAGGATAAGGGAGGAGAAAGAAGAAGGATGAGAATGAAGGAGATGGACAAAGAAGGAGAAAGAGGAGGATGGGAAAGAAGGAGCGGGGAAGGGGGCAAGGAGAAAGAGGAGAGGCGGAGGAGGAATAGGAGAAGGGAGATGAACGACGAGGAGGGGGGACGAGGAAAAGGAAGAGAGAGACGGGGTAAAGAGGAAGAAGAGAGGACGAGGTGGAGGTGGCTGGCTTAGGGGAGTATTGTGTACCAATTACCGGGTCCTCGCGCTCTCTCGCACAATATTTACTCTCACACTTCACTGGAGACGTCGACGGGGGAGTAGGGGTTGGGAGGAGGGTGGGTGGGTGGGGGTCTCTGGGGACACACGTGCTGGGGGGATATAATCAGATAAAACAGAAAGAGAAAACAAGGTGGCATTAGACAATCTGGATGATCGAGGATGATGACTTACTCTACTTAATATTGTGTAAAGTAATATATAAATAGAGATGGAAAATAATGATGAACTTTACACCACCCCGGGGGATCAACTGAACTTTAGGCACCCCGGGGATCAACTGAACTTTAGGCACCCCGGGGATCAACTGAATTTTAGGCACCCCGAATCTAAAGTCTCAACGATTCTAAAAACAAGTTGAAGCAGCAAATTGATAAGGTATGTGGAGTTAATCAGCTTCCACAAGGATTTCTAAAACAAATTGGTAGTAATGTGATCAAATATGTGACTCACCTAAGTAATAATTCACTACAAGACAGACTTTCCCAGTGATAAAAAAGACAAAACTTGAACTATTACCTAATGAATCAGGAACCCAAGTGTATGGTAATGACTTTGGTAAACAGTTGAAGTTAGAGTGTAGTCTAAAAAAAAATCTTTCCATCTCCTGTTATAAAAAGATAATGAGAAGTAAACAAAATATGTTAAGCATAAAAAGAAAAAAAATAATGCTTAGGTGTTTACTGAAATTAAATCACTCTTACACGAATTCCCTCACGCTTAATTCTGATTATTGTTTGTGTGTGTTCTGGGTCACTACTTCACAAAACAACTTACTCGATACAGAAGTCCAGGCCCCAGGGAGGTTCTAGTGAGTCTCAGGTAGAGGGCGTCACGTGATGCTTATACTGTACATTTCCCTGTACTCTGGGTCATACTACCTGGTCACACCTGTAAATATAATAATCTCTCATGAAATTAACTTATTTATATGTTGTTTCAGCTGCACAACACCACAGCTGCAGCATCAGGACTAGGACCAGCGCCTCTCCTAACACAGTAAACACTATCAGACCCTTGCTAACTCGTACAGTGTGATTGTCACTTGTTTTCTCCTTCCTGCTGCAGCTGTCGTCTCCGAAGTCAATAATTACACACACACACACACACACACACACGTACGTCATATAATGTTAGAATGATTCATCTTATGCTCATATAAACTGCACTTATGTAATTAAAATATAACTTCTTTACCAAACGCCCAAAAACTACGTGACACCATAACTTCCTGAGAAATACTGATGGTGGTAGTGGTGGTGGTGATAGGTAGTGGTGGTGGTAGTGGTAGCAGTGGTGGTGGGTAATGATGGTTGTGGGTAGTGGTGGTAGTGGTGGAGGCAGGCTGGTCCACCAATAGGAGTGGTCATATTACCCATCGTCCACGACTATACACACACTCTAGTCTTCACTCTCCTCACTGTGTCACCACCGTAGCTGCAAGGAGAGACGTGGAGGGTTGTGGCGGGTTATGGTGGTTTGTACGGGGTTGTGATGACGTTTAGTGAGTTGTGGTGAGTTGTAGCCTGGTTGTAATGGGGTATGGTGGCTTGTAATTGATTGTAGAGGATTATGGTGAGTTGTGGCTAGTTTTACTGGGTTGTGGTAAGTTTAGGTAAGTTGTAGCTGGTTGTGGAATGTTTGGTTGTGTTATATTGGTCATGGTGAAGGTTGTAGTTTGTGATGAAGGGGTTTGGTGGGGGGTCCTAGTAAGTTGTTGTGGATAGAGGACTTGTGGTTGTGGTAAGACATGAGGAGAGAGGCAAGGGGCTAGTAGGGAAGGAGTAGAGGCAAGGAGCCAGGGTGGAGTAGGCAAGGAGCGCAGAAGTGGAGAGGGAGGAGCTAGTGAGTGGGCGGAGTAGAGGCAAGGGAGCCTGAGGCGAGAGAGGAAGGGAGGCAGCAGAGGGCGTGGTAGAGAGGAGGTGCTAACAGGGGGCGGGGCAGAGGGAGGGGTGGCGATGAGGGGTGAGGAGGAGCTAGCAGGGGGGGTAGAGGAAGGGGAGTTAGGAGGCGGGTTAGGGGAGCGAGCAGGGGCAAGTAGGAGGAGATGGAGCTAGCAGGCGGGGGGAGAAGGGAGAAGCAGGGGTGAGGGCGTGGAGTAGCAGGAAGGCGTGGTAGAAAGGAGCAGCAGGGGGCGGCCTGAAGGGGCTACGGAGGCAGGGAGTAGGAGGGAGGGGTTGGCAGGGGCGGGGGTGAAGGGAAGCTAGAGGAGGCGTGGTAGAGAGGGGGAGGTAACAAAGGGGCGGAGCAGACTTGGGTGGAGGGCAAGTGTGGTGCTGGACGGTGACACACGACACACATCCTCGCCTCGCCTCGCATCACACACCTCTCTCTCCTCACGTAAGCTGCACTCTTGTTGTAGCAGTAGACGCACAAGAGTATTACGCTGGCACTAGACATAAGCGGTGGATATAGTAAACAATATTTGTCTTTGTTCTGTATCTTAATGTGTGTTGGTGGTGTTAGAGTCAGACAACTTTGGAATAGTTTTTTTCCTCAAGCATAATCAATATAACCCGTACATACGTATGACCATTAACATACATGTTCTTCAGTTTTATCAGTTTGTATTGTATGATGATCAGGTAACGAACAATGAACACACACGGCCGCGTTGCATTGCACTTACGTAACATAATATTAGTAAAAACAAAGTGACTCTACAAAGTGGTATCTCCGTCAGACTAAGAGACACTACGTCACATTGAGTAATATTAAATTAAAGTTAGTCGAATCCATCACTGACTTGTCGTGAGGAAGTATAATAAGCTACGGCATCTGGGAACATTTCACGACCTGATTGTCTCAATGTATTAGTGCAGACCTGAAGGACAGAAGAGTGTAACAGCCAGGCAGGTTCATATACAGTAGCTATTCTCCAGTAAGTGACGCACAAACTATCGATGCTTGAGGCTTGGTAGCTCCAGGGAGTGAGTGAGGTGTAGAACAGACTGTACCTACACACGGTCATATTTACAAGGCGGGTAAAGTTGTCATTTTCTATCTTTTATTCAATTCTCTTGTGTATAAAGTGAAAAAAAAGTCCTTTGTGAAATAATCTTTAAAATGATGGTAACAAATTTGGTACGCGAGGAAATATGCCACAGTAAGTTGTTTGATACTGATGAGATATTGTCCAAAATTATTTAGTATCTTACGAGGAGTTAACATCACCACACAGCTTCGTGTAAAAGTGTTAGCGGGACCAATAAGCGATCAGTTCTTAGAGGGCTCAACAGGCAGCACCACCATAACCATCCAACACCGTATAAGAACAAAGACTGTATAACGTGCATCTTAAATTAGCAGTAAATTGGTTAGTTTAGTTTACAGTACCATCATATTTTTATTTATTCATTATCTTATCAGTATTTGTGCTCTCTCTCTCTCTAACCATTATTCACACCCCTATCACCAGAGAGAGAGAGAGAGAGAGAGAGAGAGGAGGTGCACCATTGAGCTAACCACTACTACCACTACTACTACCACTACTACCACCACTAACATCCCCAAAACAACATTCTCTACCACCATCAACTCTCATACAACAACTACACCCACTGGAAGCACCACAACCACAACCAACACACAAACAACAACAATCCTCAACACCACTGCAATAACTACCACCATCAAAACTCACTCAACAACCATTTACAACATCACCACTACTACCAGTAGGCTACGATTATCTAAGATCTAAACAACCACCACTACCTACACAACAACCACCACTACCTACACAACAACCACCACTACCTATACAACAACCACCACTACCTACACAACAACCACCACTACCTACACAACAACCACCACTACCTACACAATGAACCACCATCACCCACACAACAACCACCACTACCCACACAACAACCACCACTACCCACACAACAACCACCACCACTCACACAACAACCAATTACCACTCACAACAACCACCACTCAATCATACACAACAACCACCACCACCTACACAACAACCACCACTAACTACACAAATAACCACCACCATTCACAACAACCACCATCACTCACACAACAAACCACCACTACCTACACAACAAACTACCACTACCATGCAACAACCATCACCACCCCCATCACACAACAACAATTACCACCACTACCTACAACAACCATTACCAACCACCTACACACAAATGTCCATTACCACCAATTAACCACTACCTACACAACAACCACCACTAACTACACAACAACCACCACTACCTACACAACAACCACCACTACCTACACAACAACCACTACCTACACAACAACCACCACCACCACCACCACAACCAATATACCTTCAGAACCACCAGCACCCATACAACCAATCACCAGCAACAACCATACAAACCATACACACATACATCCAAGTATAATGGTTGGTATAAGTGTCCCGTGAAAGGAGAGTTGCTCAGCCGTCGTAGAAAAACGCGCGGGAAAAAACCTTGTATATTTTTTCTCCTTACACTCACAGTCTTCGAGTACTGCTCCTTACATGGCGGGGACCAAATGGCATTCATACATACATACATACATGCATACATACATACATAGTGGGTATTGTTTGTATAGAGAAGTCCGCCTGCTATATGGACTGATGACATATATACATACATTCATACACAAACTGATGTATATAGCGTTTTCAATGATCGTCTATTTACATCACCTAACAATAAGTTTTATCTGTAACCTAAACCAAAAGTGATTTAAAACCTATCTACAGTCAATGAACTTATATTGACCAAAACCTAACCTACCCTAATCCTGGTAATAACATGACTTTATCGTAAAATGATCTTAACGTAACGCGACCTAAACTGGACATTCTTTACCTAATATAATTCAAATCTAACATGATATTAACCTAACCTATTATATTCTTAACCTAATATATCTTCTGAAGAAACCATGTAAATGTAAATGAAACTGAAATTAATTTACTTTTTACTTTGCAACACGACAACACGACAGAGGATGCATCACTGTGGCCATGTGTTGACGGTATTGGCGGCTGTGTTGGTCAGCTCGGTCACTCCCGCCACTACTCGCCTCAACCTCACGCACGACACAGGCGAGTTAAGAGGCCTTCCTTCCCTGCCAGTAACAACAACTACTACCATCCTCCCCTAGCAGTAACAACAACTACTAACATCCTCCCCTGCCAGTAACAACAACTACTACCATCCTCCCCTGCCAGTAACAACAACTACTACCACCCTCCCCTGCCAGTAACAACAACTACTAACATCCTCCCCTGCCAGTAACAACAACTACTACCATCCTCCCCTGCCAGTAACAACAACTACTAACATCCTCCCCTGCCAGTAACAACAACTACTACCATCCTCCCCTGCCAGTAACAACAACTACTAACATTCTCCCCTGCCAGTAACAACAACTGCTGACGGTACTCTGTGTCCCCGGCAGGAGGGTTGTCGTGGGTGGAGTCATGGCTGGCAGACTACAACAGGGACTTGGAAGGGTTGAGGCGGGCTAGCTCGGCGGCCCTGTGGGAGACGCTGCTCCATCAGAGTACAGAGGCCAACATCCGCCTGCAGGAGACCCAGGCCAACATAGTGAGTGTCTTCCAATGGACTCAAGATGTACTCATGTCTCAACTACTCTCAGGGAAGTGAGTACATACAGCTCATGCACAGTACCACATGGCGACAAAAAGTGACTGAGTTATGCCTCTATCACACACCAAGCAGCTCCAGACGAGTGGCTGCTACACTTTCATCTCCAGCAAGCGAAGGGGGGTGAGGTGGGGGGTAGGGTAGGGTAGGATGAGGTGGGGGTGGTTAGGGTAAGGGGTGGGGGGTTAGGAAGATGGGGTGGGGAGTTAGGGTAAGATGGGTGGGGTGGGTAGGGTCAGATGGGGTGGGGGATTAGGGTAAGATGGGTGGGGTGGGTAGGAAGATGGGGTGGGGGTTAGGGTCAGATGAGGTGGGGTGGTTTAGGTTAATATATTTTAAAATCAGTTCGGCATTAGATAACTCACATTAACTCATAACTTAAGGAGTCAATTTATGAATTAGATCTTGTATAATGAATATATTTTTATAAACATTCAATATAAAAAAAGTTAAAATGTCTTAGTCCATCAGTTACTATCAACACTGGCAGGTGAGTTTGTCCCCCCTCTCTCCTTTTGCATTGAGTTTGGTGAGTTTTGTCCTATGTGTCTTTGTCCCCTGTTGGTTCATCAGTAATGTCCTTCCTTCTAGCGCCTGGAACACAACGCCCTACATCCTGTCGTGAACACTGCCTGGCTTCCACACCTACACCCATTAAACCCAACCCAAAACCATTCAACCCGCACCCTCAAGGATTAAAACTAAGTCCATGATCAATAGAACCACACCCAGGGGCATTAAGGTCTCACCCAGAACCATTAAAGCACCATTAAGAACCATCACAGCCGTAGACGCACCACAGTAAAGTAAAGTAGGTTAGGTTAAATCGTATAAAACAAACGATCGTCCAGGTGAGGGATGTAATGCTACGTGTGTGTACTAAAGTAGACAGTGTGGACGGCACTGCACTCGACCACCGTCATTCCCCCATCAGTAAGGCTGAGCCCAATCATAGCTGGGTGGAGGACCAGTACTGAGCCTAAGGGCAGGGAGAGAGAGATGTATCCACTTGCCTCTTCCATAATGAAGAAAAGTTCAAAATCACGAGACAAAATTACTACATATAGTCACGTCACCATCACCACAATGTTTACTGAAGTGTTTCACATATTTAAAAAAATCTTAAATGAATTCTTTACATATTTCCAATTTTCTATTTCGTCTGGTTAATAACTTGTTTAATGAGTAAAAAGTTAACGTGTGTGCTGCACGAGGCTGCACACACTGTCATAACCAACCCATAATTGTTTTTCATATCTACAGTATTTTATCGAGGCTCAAAAACAAACTATTCCATTCAACTAAACAAAAATATTTATATGAATCTATACAAATGTACAAAATATATAAATTACACAGATATTTACATAGAGCAAATAAAGCGCAATAGAAGGAGGGAAGAATGTTGTTATGGCGAGGTCACAGTAAGTGGCTGCTGTGTGTCACTCCTCGTTGCCAGTTTCAGGGCAGGTCTCTGAGGGGCACCGCTGACGCTGTTCCTCCTGTAGGTGCTGACGGCGGCGACGTGTTTGTTCCTCTGACACAGACGTTGACGACACTACCTGCAACCAGATGGAAGACGTGTAATGGTGTTGATCTCAGAGCTGAGCCGTACAACACAAAACTCTGGCATTCGCAACATAAACTTTATAAGATTTCCAGAAAATTATAAAATATTAACTTATTCTATTCTTCTACCTTTCTGATGGATCCTCTGTGCAGGAAAAGAAGCCGTCAGTTCAGTTCAATAATACGGTACAACACGTAGGCAATTTATCACTGATTATAAAGTTCGCCCTTACAGTGTCCTGCCTTGAACATAAACCTTTCACCTAACTAAGTTGACAAAGTACATTATATCCTCCTATGTATTTGTTAGTGCCATCTGAGCTTATTGAACAGTTTATCGTTATCAGTTCCATCTCCTTCACCTACCTTCCTCTCCTGCCACGTGCCCTCGCCTACACCACACCTGTTCTACCTGGTTATCAAGAGTAGCACAATCAACCAACTTTTAAAATGGAATTAAATCACTGACATGTCTGCGGTACTTTATAGAAGTGATAACGAAAGTAGTTCAGGCGAGGTTTACTGTGTCTTAAAATAATTTTAGCCCAACCAGTTTACTGTGAGAAATGTGAGAGAAACTGACCTGGCGGAGGTGAGAAGGACGGCGGTATGACGCCAACTGTGACAGGTGGATGTCTGGTGCGACGGCTATCAGTCGTGTCAAGTGGTGGGCGGCGTGGGCAGGATGGTGGAGGGGCGACTCATGAAGTCTGGTGTCAGAGTAACTGTGGCCAGAAGTGGTGCCGGCGGCATGGTCAGGCGTGTCTGTGCTTCCCTCTCTTAACTGGAGTTGCTGACGCTGCGCCTCCCGCTGTCGTCGGCGCTGACGGCGTTGCAAGGATCTGTTGGTGCGTGAAACGAGTCTCTCTAACGCGGGTGGCGGCGGTGTGCCGCTTTCCAGCAGCAGGTCCCGCAGGATGGACAACAGAGTAGCCTGCAACTCACCAGGGTCTTGTACGCCGTGGCCGGCTGTACTGTTGATACCCATGAGGGCATACAGGATCACTTCAAGCAGGGCGTCGTTTTCTTGGGAGGACTCACAGGTCTTCATGGCGAACAGTAGCGCTGGACGGTCACCACAAGACGGCACAGCACAGGAGCAGGACTCAGTGTCTCAGACCGCACTAATACAGTGTACACTCCACCGCCGCCCGCCGGCCCGGGCTGGGGCTGACAAACACTTGTTGCTGTAATCCCTCAGCTACTTGAGGCTGCGTCTCGTTTACACTAGTATTATTTCCTCTCGGCGCTTTATCAACTGTAGTGATCTCGGTTATGAACAAGATCTTGTTGTCCAGTACAGCAACATCTACTGCTGTATCATGAGTTATTGCAGGAAAACTGTAGTCAAGGATATTATGAAACGGAAAACGAGAATAGTCAACTGAAATTTGAATATTGGAGGTGCTGGGTGAGGTGAGGTCGAGGACACTCCCACCTTGCGACACACACATGCACACACACGCACACACACACACGCACGCACGCACGCACACACGCACACACACACGCACGCACACACTGCAATTATGTACACAAACCCGCCATGAGACCCCACCACAACGGCGACACTCGACAGGAAATGTGAACTTTACTTTAAGCATCACCACAAGGATGATCACGGTCCTCACCTTTATGGTAACTGAATTTATTGCAGCTGAACTACAATTAATTCTGTATTAAAATACAAAACGAACAACCAAATCTATTCCCGTGTTAGCATGATGGAGGTGGGAGGAGATCACATCTATACCTATAAACCGCTTAATGAATCAGCACTACCGCTTACTACTCCCACAACTAAAACGAATAATACTCTACTGTGTACTATAATACAACATTCAGGCACCTATGAATGATACACAAAACAACACCATCCACTCCTAGTTCTGCCTCAGTAATGCCGCAACACCCCCACTCAGGTCAATAATTAGTGCGAAGTTCACAAGATGGTCTGATGCGGCGGGTCAGCGTGTGTCCCTCCCTCCCACACCTCAGTCGAGTCAGTTGGGACAGACTGTGACGAGGGGACGTGCGCCTAACATGCCAGGTTCAGAGTCAGATCACCTGAACATCGCCTACCCCCCCTAGTTTACTTCACCTAATCTAATTTAACTTAACTCCAGACCCAGGTGACCATGGTGACCTAACTAAAACACACGCTAGATGTTTACTCCAGGTTAATGTGTTTCGTTGTTAGGTTAGGTTAGAGTAGGATTAGGTTAGGTTAATGTAAACTTGAAGCGTGTGTTGCCTTCCTGCACTAGTATGATTATGCGGTCGAGACTGCAGTGTATTGACCGTTCCGCAGGCTGAGTGGATGCGCGTGCGGGTGCGGGAGGCAGACAGGGTGCGGCCATGGGCTGCAGGTAGGAAGGAACGCCGCATGCTGCATCTCATCACCCGCGGCCCGAGGTACACCGCATCTCAGGCCAGGTATGTTCATTCATGCTACACTCACGGTACGCTGGGCATACCACACGCGGCTAAGGGGTGATACCAACACAGTACCTGGCCACATATACACAGTATTATGCCACGTAAAGACAGTACATGGCCAGATAAACACAGTACATGGCCACATAAACACAGTACATGGCCACATAAACACAGTACTAAGTCATATATACATGTGGCCGAATAATGGCATAAAACACAATACAGTTACAGGTGTCAGGAGGCTACAGTGTTAGTAAACAATGGCCGTACGAGTTGGTTTAGTGCTAGATAAGGAGTTAGATAAGGCTCCGTACTGTCGCCAAAATTCATTAATATCTATAGTCAGGATTCTAATGAGAGAATGTATAAGCAACAATGAAGGAAGAAAGCTTAACTAAAGGTGAAATAACACAGTGAAGAGGCATTATATAAACTGGTTCACAACTTATTGGAAAAAGGTGAAGAATATTGGTAGGAGGAATACTGTATGTGTGTTTGGGTAGTAACAAGAGTTGGTAATGACAAATGTGAGTGAAATCAAGAATAGGTCAACCAAAAATAACATTAACTTATATCAAACGTCTGGTAGTGGAGATATTATTATTACTTTGAGCAAAAATATGATGAAATGCATTACTTGATCAAATTATTGGATAGGTTACAGAAGCTTAGTTCAGCAAGTATTACAGGGGGTTACACACGTTCGATGTGTAGTGCCACAAATGAAGGCTGGAGGTAAGTTATACTGGTCTTAGGAGAGGTGCAAAATCTGGGGATATTATAGACAGTCCAAAAGGCTTCGAATGGAGGGTCGTGGTAGGGTAAGGTTACGTATGGTTAGGTTAGATTAATTGAGGTATGGTTATGTTTGGTATTGTAAGGTTAGTTACGTGAATCGAGTCTTTTAAGGTAAGGTAAGATTAGTTTAGGAGAGGTAATGTATGGTTTGATTAGGTTAGGCAAGGTGAGGTTAGGTTAGGTTAGGGTAGTAAAGTGAGTTTAAGTTCGATAAGGCGTAATGTTTGCTCACGTTGGCACTGGTTTAAAGATACGGTCTTTTGGATATTTCTTCTGTGTACTAATAATATGAAAGGAGATACATATTTTTGTACTCAGACTAACGATCAGTCGACATTGATATTATGTTCGGTGTGAGAGGCTTAAGTAGTGTTCCGCTCACTCTCAGACGCTTGTCGTCGCTGGTGTCTCGTATGAGGGGCTGCTATTCGACGCTCATCCTCACCCACGGCCTTCACACCTACCGCGGCGAGCGTGACATCACCACACTTATGAGGACTTCTCGAGACCCCGACCTTCTGCTGTGGGCGTGGGTAGCGTGGCACAATGCTCTGGGCCCGCCCATCCGCCCACTTTTCACTCAAGCGGTCACCATTATGAACCAGGCAGCCCGGATGGGTGGTGAGTACCAACCAATATGAGAATTTGATGACGACAGAAGTGACATATTTGAGTACATTAAAGTGTTAATTCATCCTCTTCAATCAACACAGGGTACGAGGACATGGGAGCTGCTTGGCGGTCGGAGCTGGAATTTGATCAAGATGCGGACGTGTGGGCGGCAGTCGACCAAGTGTACAACCAAGTCTCCCACCTGTACACCTTATTACACGCCCATGTTCGCGACGCACTCATCAGACAGTATGGCAAAGAATTAGTGGACCCAGCCAAGCCTATCCCAGCTCATCTAGCAGGTCAGTAAATAAAAGAAACTTGATATTGAAAAAACCCCATTAATATAACACACGTAATTGGTAATACTTTATCGAACCTACGTCCTCAACCATCTATTTCAATGTTTTTATAAAGGGAAAATGTTACTTACCTCTAGAATAGCCCATTAACCCCCCCCCCCCTTTTCCCCTGACCCTGGGGTGGAGACTTCAGGATAATCTTTTATATTTAGGTAACAAATTATAAAAAAAATAAAATCAAAATACTGTAATGAGAAAAAAATATAGAAATTATGACTATTCCCTAAAATGAATCAAGTATTATGATCACCGGCACCTCTGCTCACACAACACATCAAACACGACAACAAAGAAATTGCATTATTTTCGAGTAAGGAAATAATTTATCCTTATTGCACGTAACAAATTTTAACAAGTGTATAATCGAATACACAAGTTACCCCTTTATATTATTCTCTATGAAGAAAATATGACGTTACAGAAAATGAAATTATGAAATGTAGGACTAATATATTTTTGGTAATTTTTATACTTTATCCACTTCGCCACTCATCGGCTTGTTAATCGTTGGGGCGATCGGTCACGTCTCTGTTAAACACTGTTGGCAAGTACTGGTTCCAGAATAATGTATCTTTACATGCGGTATCGAGGTCCCACTTGGTGCCGTCACAACACTCGCTGGCAAATTATTCCAAGAGTTCACAACTTTCACTCTAAAAACGTTTGCCCTGACAATTTTCTGAATTTATGGCTTCACTAACCTGAGGCTGTGACCCCTATTGGGGCGGGAATCTTCGATGAGGTAAACAATAACGTCACTAATTCGGGAACTGTGGGCTCGACCAAAACATGGTGGTACGGGGTAATGGCCGTAAAGTTTTACAGTTCGTTGCCATAAATTAAACAATAAAAAAATTCTCTCATATCCCCTTTGAGTTTGCCCTTATTTATACGACCGTGGAACTTGATACAAAGCTCATAGACATACTGTATGTGTTTAATTAATATTCAGGAGCTTGCACCTGTTTTTAGTTTTTGTCTTGTTCCCTAATTTATTTTTATGTTATTCATTATACCAAACTTCCGAAGAAAAAAATTAAGGACTGACTGGGAAAATATAAATCCGTGCCACAAATGTGAAATATTACCAATAATGATTTTGAAGGAAACTTTATTCAAAGGATAATGGAGGAAATTTTTGAAGAAAAAATGAAGCAATCAGTGGTAGTTAAACTAAAAAATAATTTTTTTCTCATTTGTTTCAATTGTTGATGGACAAGTGTGATTACTAACCTTGTACGCGTTTAAAGACCTTAGTTGCCGAAGCGCAGTATGTGGTCAAAGACCTTGCAGAATATCTACAAACAGAAAATTGTACACTATTTTTACGTCAGTAGGTGGACACTAATGTGGGATATGTGTTACAGGAGACTTGTGGGGACAAGACTGGTCGTCTATGTTAGAGTTGATCCTTCCTGACCACCACGACCACACGCTTGTCAACGTTACCGGCAGCAACAGGGGGACCAACGTCACTACCAGAGAAATGGTCAAGGTCGGTTACTCTTCCAATCATTGAATATTGTTTTTACTGATATGTATAATATATTTTTAAGTTGTTTATGATTTAGGTCTCAGGCATGTTTTAGTCCATTTTTTAATAATTTATAACAGTAGTTTTGATCATTGGTTGCTGAGCTCCCCCACCCGTGACAGATCATGTGTATTGGATCCTTGAGTCTAACATTATGTAAGACCCATAATCGAAAAAAAAATAATAATTTACAGAAACTTAATAAAACACACTAAAAAGACAAATCCACTTTTAAAATTATGGACTTTGCAAAAACGCGTGAGGAGGAGGAGGAGGAGGCAGTCATCTACACCTACACAACGGTGACAATTGTTCTGATAAGCTCTACACAAATCCCTCGCTTCAGCATCTCAGTTGGTAATCCAAATAAGCCTCATAGTCACAGATTAATAAACACATAATACATTAAGATGAATAACAACAAATGTAAGGTTCAGTTTTCGGGGAAGATAAATATGATCGTAGTACCATCGTAAAACACAGGTGAGAGGCACGAAGCTGGAGTAAAGCAGGATCCAGATAGTGTCCTGAGCAGCCATGTGTGTTGTTCTTTTCTTGTGTGTTAAGCTGAGATAGTGCTTTATTCTCACCAGGAGGTCGACAAGTTCTACCAAGGTCTGGGATTTCCGCCGCTAACGGAGAAGTTCTGGTCGAAGTCTGTATTGGGGGAGGACGAGTGGCCAGGCAGGGGGGCGTGTCACCCTCGCTCCCTCGACATGTTCTCTCCGGGGGACTACAGGTACTGATACTACTAACAAACATACAATAGATAGTCTAGCACAGTCTCCCGGATGCACAAAGTTTCTTAAATAATTTCAAAGTTGCAGGAAATATAACGGCCAACAAGACTAACAAAGGTCTACATTATAGGAAAGACCCATCAGGATAACTCTGGTACATAAGATATTCCTGCACTCTAGAGCCTTCGGTAAGAGGAATTTGTCTTTTTATTTAAACATCTTACGGATTATTCTGCCTTCGTTTATATCTTCGGTCACAACATTAGCACAGCGATAATTTGCAGGTTATCGTCCTGTAATGAGAACCTGAATACACCCAAGTACTGTAGTGTTTATGTGTTCCACTCCAAATCCATGATGACCGCTGTCAGCCATGTTGAAAAAAAGTATAACTTATGACTCAAGCACACACTATACACGAAGAATAAAGGTAGTTATTGTCCAGTACATCTGAGTGTCTGTCAGCCAACGGGAGAGATCCGCTGTTATAATTATTATTCTACATATTAACACACCTACCTACACCGTCTCCCAGTATATCTTCATTCTCTACAACAATATGGCGAAGAGTTAAACCGAATTCATTTGTTTATGCAGGTGAAATACGCCTCAGTCATAGTAGTCGCCAGGCTTACTGTCTCACCGTGTAACCTAATGTTCCTCACGCACAATTGTTCCCCAGGATGATGATGTGTGAGACGGGAGGAGAGGAGGGTGTTCATGTTGCCTACCACGAGCTGGGCCACGTTCACTACTTCCAAGCCTACACCACCCAGCCTGCTGTGTTCAGGGTGAGTTGTTCCACCACCCAGCCTGCTGTGTTCAGGGTGAGTTGTTCCACCACCCAGCCTGCTGTGATCAGGGTGAGTTGTTCCACCACCCAGCCTGCTGTGATCAGGTTAAACACCCAGATGCCACCACCTGGAGGAGCCTTGATTGTGTTACCAAGATTCGACCTTACAGTAAAACTCTTAATTAATCCAGAGGTGAATCATTTTTTGTCGGTCATACGGGCAACAGTGTCCCCAACCTACTGCTGCTGTAAGGTGTACCGATTATCATCACTCAAACAAAGGTAAGATGTTAACTTTAAGAGAACGAAGGTATGATAGAGGCCAGTGTTTCTTCTGTTGCACCTAAAACTGATGACGTCAATTTACCATTTTTGTTCCTTGTTTATACTGTGTAGCTGTTGGATCAGTGTGTTGACCAATCATGAGCCACTTTAACTTGACCTCTTACGCTGTGTCACCTCCTCTAGGACGGGGTCAACTCTGCCTTCCATGAGACTGTAGGAGACACCGTCCACCTGGCTGCTATGAGCTCGTCCTCCCACGTCACCTCCCGTCACAACACCGTCACACCCATCAACCGTGAGACCCTCAAATGTGTTACGCATTGCATAGTTGTTGGCAAATGAACTCTGTGTACACAAGAGTATATCTTATAACATTCACCAGATGACGGAGTTTAGTAGTGATTCAGTGAGGACCCAGGGAGGTCTCCTAGGTGTGCTGGTGACTCCCTCTGTGTGTGTGGAGGGTACTGTCGGCATAAGTCCATGTGGTATAGTCCGCCTTAAGTCCACATGACAGTGACAGGTGTAGTATTTTTCAGGTAAGGTGTTGAGAGAGCTCCTGCAAGTGGCGCTGACGAAGCTGCCGCTCCTCGCCTTCGCCAGAGTCGTCGATGAGTGGCGTTGGAGAGTCTTCCAGGGCACCGTGAGTGGGGGAGGTAGAGGAGTGGGGAGAGGAAGGTATCATTACAGGTGACCAGGTCCAAACTACTAGTAAAAGGAGATTCTGCTAAAGACGATGTATCTTATCTGTAACATAGTGAAGTAACCCTCCAACTTGTGAGCCTGGTCAACGAGGAAGAAACTCACTGATAATATTAATACTTGTTGAACAGTGATCAATATCGTCCTTGTACGTGTCTGTGCAGTAACTCATTTATTATTGTTTACAAATCCCTGTTGGGTAATGATATTCACCACCACTCATTTATCTTTTCGTTATAATTAGTGTTTATTTATTAGTTCACATATCCTTCAGAGTTTATACAAAACAGTAACTCTTTTATCTTTCTGGCACGAACACATTAACAACCATCTTCCCTGGTGCAGGTGCGGGAGGAGGAGTACAACACTGCCTGGTGGCTGCTGAAGCTGCGGTACCAGGGCCTGGCGCCCCCCACACCGCGTTCTGAACACTACTTCGACCCTGCCGCCAAGTTCCACGTCCCTGATAACACACCTTACGTCAGGTGGGTCCTGTGTACCTGTCATCCGTCAGGTGGGTCCTGGGTACCTGTCCTCCGTCAGGTGGGTCCTGGGTACCTGTCCTCCGTCAGGTGGGTCCTGTGTACCTGTCCTCCGTCAGGTGGGTCCTGGGTACCTGTCCTCTGTCAGGTGGGTCCTGTGTACCTGTCCTCCGTCAGGTGGGTCCTGTGTACCTGTCCTCCGTCAGGTGGGTCCTGTGTACCTGTCCTCCGTCAGGTGGGTCCTGTGTACCTGTCCTCCGTCAGGTGGGTCCTGTGTACCTGTCCTCCGTCAGGTGTGTCCTGGGTACCTGTCCTCCGTTAGGCGAGTCCTAGATACCTGTACTTCACCTAGGACTTAAATACCTGCTGTGAGTTAGGTGGGTCGTGGGTATGTTCTATGTCAGGTAAGTCATAGGTACACCTGCTGTGAACCTGTCCTTTGCCAGTTGAGTTATGGCTACCTCCACTACATCTGGTGAGTACTCGGTAGCTGTCCTGAACTAAATAATCACCCAAAACAAATATATGTAATAGTCATCAAGCAATCTGTGTGTTGGGGAGAGATACATTCTTACAGGTGGCTCTCCCTCAGGTACCTGGTGGCAGTGGTGGCACAGTTCCAGGTGCACCGAGGGCTGTGTGAGAAGGCCCAAGGGCGACCTCTCCTCACGCCCCCTCACACCTGTACCATCGCTGGTTCACACGCCGCCGGGAACCTCCTCAGGTATAACGGCAGAGGGTTGGGTTAGGTTAAGTTAAGTGAGATTTACGGTAGTGCTGAAGACTGGGAGAGGAAGGGAGAGGGAGGGAGGGAGGGAGACTAACTTTTTAATGTAATATTGTTTACTAAATTCAAAACGGAGTGTCTATTAGGAACGCTACGTGAATACCTGTATATTCTTGTTAATGAGATTTCAGAAGAACAACCCTGAGGAAGTAAATAGCTACCTCCACGATAAACGTAAAACATTCCTAGTTTCTCAGTGTGTTACTTCTTACTCCCTGTTTAGGAAGTAGCCACATACAGTAGGTCTAGTATAGCCAGGCTGTCTTATACTGTTTATCCCACTGTACCAGCCAGTCTAGGGGTGCACAGTCTGATGCTATTGTTCTTGTGGTGCCAAACAATAAATTAACATGACACTGGTACACGTCGGGGGTGTGTCGAGGGTGTCAGCTGTAGTGGTGTCATCTACGAGAGCCCGAGTGAATATGTCAACACACAACACACTCACGCACTATACTGACCTGTCATCACCTGCACTACACTCATCTCTCCTCCCCCACCAGGCGGGTTATGGCGGCAGGGTCCTCGGTGGGGTGGAGGGAGCTGCTGCAGGAGCTGACGAACAACACTCACCTGGACGCCGAGCCCTTGATCACCTACCTGGCGCCCCTCACACGTTGGTTACATGAGCAGGCCCTCACCAGGAACCTCACTCTAGGGTGGTAACACTGCCCAGGAGCCTCGCTCTACGGTGGTAACACTGCCCAGGAGCCTCATTCTAGGGTGGTAACACTGCTTAGGAGCCTCATTCTAGGGTGTAACACTGCACAGGAGCCTCATTCTAGGGTGGTAACATTGTCCAGGAGCCTCATTCTAGGGTGTAACACTGCACAGAAGCCTCATTCTAGGGTGGTAACATTGTCCAGGAGACTCGCTCTAGGGTGGTAACACTGCCCAGGAGCCTCATTCTAGGATGTAACACTGCCCAGGAGCCTCGCTCTAGAGTGGTAACACTGTTCACTGTATACACATATCAACACTGATCTTTGAATTCATAAATATTAAAAGGAAATATTCAGGAGGCACTACTTTATTATTCCCCCACAATGATGTATTCCTCCGCTTCATCAACTAAGACCAACTAGTCATCAACAGTGAACAGAAGAGACTAGAGGCCAACCACTAGTGTTCACCTCACTCTTAAGGAACTTATTATGTCAGGTATTCACACACAACAAAACACACTACAACGTATTCTCATACATGTGTATCAATATCTCACAGTGTAGAACCAAGACAGTTAAATGAATAATGTATAATTGCTGTTCTTGTTGATGTATACATAGAAGTTCAGCTATACATATCTGAGTGTGGATGTTTCATGGTGATGTGGCTGAGGATGAGGTTGACTTTACTGAAGAACTGAAGGCTAGCAATACAACTGACTCATTTCCTATTAAAATTCTATTTATTTAGAAATTTTTAGATAATAAGGTTTCTAATTTTTCTCCCAATATTGGTCTTTCCTCTCATAATCCTCCCCCACCAAGCTGTATCCAGAGACCAGAATAGATAAAAAGAATAGCTCTTCTAGTTTCTTTATTCCGATCTTTATCATCTCTTCCTTTAATTATTCCCAAGTGTAGGCAAGTGTAGGTAAAACTTACTAAACTGGTGAGGGATAAAAAAAAATGTCCCCACGAGAACAACTGACACCCCCACACACACCACTAACTTCATCAGCTAACACATAAATAAAAGATCTAAGAAATTAAGATAAGTTTACCCTACGTAGTGACCCCCTCCCTCCCCCCCACCCTCCTACACAACAGGAGTCAGAAAACACGTCATATTCCACGTAAAAATGACTTGTGGTGCTAAGATAGTGTTGTATAAACCAGAAAAGTCAATTGGGTTACACAAAATAGACATCTTTTAACTAATTAATTTAGAATGGAGGTGTTTTGTAGATTTTCGAGTACTTACACAACTCTTCTGGCTGCTGAACATAATGGGGGTAGATGTCTTTGCGAGATACCTTGTGTAGACTTGTAAACAAAAGCCCACTTGTCCTGATGACGTCATTATATAGCTCCTCTGTATGAACGCAACTGTCTAGCACAATATTGTATTTCTGACTGCAAATTAGTTTTTTTTTTACTGTTCACGTGTTCTACTGATTGCACATGAACTATAATGGCTGTACCGGAGCTGCACTGACTGTACACTCGCAGCAAAAAGTATCGGTGCATACTGTAGTGTGAACAATTTGAGACCAGTGACGATAGGTATTGGGAAAGGCGAGTTGTTCCAGCCGTATGTTGGTAGCCCTGATTGTCAGCCATATGGCAACACCTAGTGGAGGGGGGGGGGGTTATGAGGATACACTTACCAACCTTCCCGACATATCACAGTGTATACGTATCGTTTCGGAACTCGTCGATCTCACCCTGCACCGATACTTTTTGGTGCGAGTGTACAATAGCTATGGTGACAGTAAAATAGCTCAATCGCCACTGAACGAGTTCTGTTGACTTTAAAAGATCTCTATTGACTTTTTAAGAGCTGTTACTAAGTATACCAGAGGTGTAGTGAGTGTACATGAAGTATACTGAGTGTACAAGTGTTCTTCTGACTGCATATCAGTTCTGACTATGAGCTCATAAAACTGCAGAAGAGCTCAACTGACTGATCACGAGCTTTACTAAGTGTACAAAAACCCGACTGGCTGTACCTAAGCTCTGTTCTAGTGTTCATATAGTAGTATAAACAGCGTAGTCCAGGAAACAATGGCAGAGTAAACTTGGTCACATTATAGCGATAAACTTTCGTAGGTGTGAGGTGGAGAGGTGCTTCACCAAACTGTAGTACTGACTATAATGTGTCTGAAGGCGGAAATACCGTCACACTGTAGTGTTATAGGACATGGGTATAAGGATCTTGACACACCCTGTACTGAGTACTGGGTGGGTAGTGATACTCTGTCCCGATGCTGCTGTCACCACGTCACAGTTATTGTATTTGGGCAGCGGTCAACAGTCACGAGTGTACACCAATATAGTAATTCTTCCCGGCTCAAGTAATGTCGCCACAGTCAATGATCTACAGCAGTAATGGTAAACAGTATAGCCATCCCCTCGTGTTTCACTGCCTAACAGCATGGCGTCTTTCACGAGGACATGAAAAACACGATAAACGCGCTATCCGCTGCCCGCCGGACGCAGTTGACAGTTTGGCGAGTGGGTCAACCCTGTTATTACTGGACGTGTAAGCCCATATATGTCACAGCGCGTAATAAGTCCTCTCAATACGGTCCTCCACGCACCCCTAGGGGAACTAACAAGCTTAAACCCGAGAATCTTCTTGTGCAGTCTCTCCCCTGGTCGTGGCCCCGGGCGCTCCACCATTCATAACCCGTTTTCGGTTGTATGCGCGCCAAAAAAAGGGGGATCCCATCACAGCTGTTTAGGCAAAAGGTGCCACACATGCATTTACTCTTGCATTTATTTTAAAAAGATATATCTGTTATCATTAGTGGATCAAGCGACAATGAAATCACTGATATAGTAAGTTATATAAGATAAAAAGTAACAATGAAAATTTGAGTCATAGACAATATAACAAACAAACCATCGGCAACCCTGCCCGAGTGGTAAGATTACCCCGTCATACAAACTTTACACCAAACCCATTCACACAAACACTACCGAATTATGGGATGTTTGCCGATAAAAGGCTTATTGAAACCGCATCAGAAGGACACCAAGCCTAATATCGACCGGCTGGGTGGTTGGCCCGGCTATAACCAGTCTACTCAAGTAAACATAAAAGACATCAACAACTCATGTCTAAATTTTGGCGCGAAGAACAGTGATCATTTTGGCAGGAAGAGTAATAATGATGATTTTGGCGGGAAGAAGGAGATTAGTGGACGCAGGATGTGCTCGTGTGACAAGGGAGGTAAACAATGACAATATTATCGAAGGTCAGAGGTTTCGGACGCGTTTACAAAGATGTCCCCGAGCGATAATCTTCATTTTAGCGTCTTTGTACATTGAGCGGTGGACAGGATGTCATTACTGCTTCAATACCTCACTGTGTCGCGCCTGGTGACTGATGTGTGGTGCTTGGTGACTGATTATGGTGCTTGGTGACTGGTTATGGTGCTTGGTGACTGGTTATGCTGCTTGGTGACTGGTTATGCTGCTTGGTGACTGGTTATGCTGCTTGGTGACTGGTTATGCTGCTTGGTGACTGGTCATGATGCTTGGTGACTGGTTATGGTGCTTGGCCACACGTGCGTACATTTTGCCGCCAACATGTGATCAACAAGACGAAATAAGACACAGGGTTCCGACATTGATGGGCTAAATGGCTCTACATTTTTTTTTATAAATTTGGGAAAGATATCAGACTCAAAGGGTAGAAATCTATGACGTCTCCCATTACTCAGCACAAAGCTTCATGAACTTCTAACCAACTGGGTAAAGGTGTTGAGGTAAGAAGCTTAAAGTTGTCTTATGAAGCAGATCTCAGGTAATGAAGGTCAAGCTTGGTAAACAACATGATTGATGTGATGTTCTTATATAATTTGTAACTGGTGTCTGTCATTACCAAAGGGATAGGCACAGTATTGTGGTGTCTTATATCATTTCCTGCGACTGATACGAGATGATCCCGTGAATCTCTTACAAGAACTGGGTAAATAGAAATAGATAAACAGATAAATATTCAGTGAAATCGTCTTACAAGTTTACAATTGGTCCAGCATGCATAAAGACAATATACAGTATACAGCATACCTTCAGCACTGACAGGCAGTATAATCATTCCCAGACGACAGCCGTCACACCTACAGTACAGTATACCACTCACCAAGTGTCTCTGAGAGAACCGTAAAAAGATTATTATCTTAACAAGTTTTTGTGGCAGATCAGGACCTTTTTTAACATTAATTATAATAGCTTCCCTTATGGGACAGCAGCAACAGCAGCAGCAGCAGGGGCGGGCAGGGTGGTGACGGATGGTCAAGAGTTGTGGGCGCCCGGGATTTGTAAACACATCATTCAGCGGGCGTAAGTGTACACATCTCTCGTTACAGCCTCCCACCAGCACCCCCTCCACCACCACCATTACCCCCTCCTCCTCCACCACCATCACCCCCTCCACCACCATCATCACCACTACCACACCCCTCCTCCACCACCACCATCATCCCTCCACCACCACCACCACCACCATCATCCACCATCCCATCACCACCAACACCATGTCCTCCTCCACCACCCATCACCCCTCACCATCATCCCCTCCACCACCACCACCACCACCACCACCACCATCATCACCAACACCATCACCATCACCCCTTCCTTCACCAACACCATGTCCCTCCTCCACCACCACCACCAGCCCCTCCTCCACTACCACCACCACCACCACCCCTCTTGTTCCTGGTAGATTAATATGTGGTGCTGTCATGAGGCGATGATCATCTTGGGCAGGAGAAAGGCGGGGTTGTGTCCAGGGTAGTGAGCGAGGCACTTCAACAGTATCCTGTGACTGTGTGTGTGTTGGGTGGTGTCCAGGCTGTTACGTCTCTCAATTATTACTTAATGAGCTCACACACACACACACACACACACACACACACACACACTTTAGCCCAGCAGGGAGTATAGGGGAGTGTTACTAACTTGCTGTTGTTGTGGGCACACCTGACACGTAATTAGTACCAAGTAACACATTACCTGCCAAGTATTTGTCATATACTCTACGCAGACAATCAGTTAAGAGTGCCAGGCGGCTGACCCAGAAGTTCTTGTGTCTCATAACTTGTTAGTGCCAGTGATGAAGTGGCCTAGGTGACTAACAGCGCCCTGACACACGCTATCAAACACCAAGAGTTATGACACAGTGCCACGGTGCCACTACTTACAAGACATCGTTAAGCGGCTGTGATATAAGTATTGGATCGAGCTACAGTTCCTCATGACGCGGCGGGTTTGCTCTGAAGGCTGACGGGCTAACAATGACCAATATGTGTCTAGTGTTGGGAGGCAAACACTTGACTCCTCACAGACATAAACTTAGATGAGGGGGACAAATACCACACGTCAGGGAGACAGACACTTGAGGGAGGGTGAAGAAGGTGTACAAGGGGGTGATGAGGGTCAGAGTGTGCCACAACAGTGGGTCAAGTAGTGCCTTATAAACCTTGAGTGTCGTCCAGGCTTACACACAATACCAGTACTGGAGTAAAATGTGTGTGTGTGTGTGTGTGTGTGTGTGTGTGTGTGTGTGAACATTAAACCGTGACAGGTGAAGATAACGCTCTACCGGAAGTACCGTGCATAGATAGAAGGACCTCCTCTATGGCGAGCCTGACCCCCTTCAAGTCCATCCATCGTCCTGCACATATTCTCTACTATCGACCCACCGACAGCACTACCGTACATGTGTTATGTGAGGTGGTGTTGGTGGGCAGTGTACTGTCGTCGTGGTTTAAGATGTGTGCTGGACGACATCCTACACGTCTTTTTCACGCGGGAACAAATAT